CTAGTCTATATATGTGATCAAGAACACGTGGTTATAGCATGTTCTCAACTTTGTTAAAAAGATTTTATTGTCATTGCTTATTTTACTAATACATCGCTACAACATAATTTGTTTTTAAGGTGAATCAAGAGAGTAATATTGAGGGACAGTTTTAGCGTACTCTGCACACCCTTGCATTTAAATTTTCTCCGTTAATCATTTTCAGTTTTTACTACAACTTTTTTCTGCCTATCATGAGTGACCTTTATTGATTAGTTTGATTTCACAGATGGGCCTGCAGAAGATCTTTATGGAATCTTCATTAATCGAGTCCGTAGAGAGCGCTCACCAGAGTTATTGGAAAACGTCAGAGGGTAAATTACACTCACAGAGACTTTGATGTTGAGATGGTGCTTCATTGACTATTTGTTGTTTGTTTCTGGTTCTTCTGGACAGAAAACTAGTTTATAATGCATCTTAGGTCACATGATTAGGAAACTAGGACCTCTGGCTCATTTTAACATGCACAAGGAAAATATATGATGAGAATTTTTGTTAGCATGGAGACTGGTGATTTGTCCAAATAATTAGTCTTACTGTTTGTTTTGTGTACTGCAGCCTTACTAAATGGGTTCCACCACCTGTTAAGATGACAAGTAGCTATGTCCGTGGGAACATCAATGTTTCACTGAAGAGGATGGATGTTGCATTCTTGGACATGCTTCAATTTCATTGGTATTAAATTTCTTCTCGCTTATGTTTTTTGTGGTAACGGGGAGATTCTCACAACTTGCTAAGACAGTTTCTTATGCAAGATATGTAACATGTGTATGTTCAAACCCCAGTGCACAGAGATGGCAGTGTCTGGTTTCTCTGCCCCAAACCAAGATGAGTTTCTCAATTTTACCACATCCTCGACCCCAAGTCCATTCTCTAAGCCCTCTCCATAAACACATTCTGGATTTCTGTGAGAATTGAATTATCAATACCTTATTGAGCTCAAAGAAAACTTTGAACTCTTCTTGAGATCAATCTGAATCCTAGCTAAATCAAAATCCTTACCATCTTTATAGGTGCTAGAACACAAAGGCCTCAGATTGAAGTGCTTTCTTGTCGGTGTGTGTGGAACAATGAGAGACGGAGAGGTATTTTTATCTCAGCACGTGTCAAATAATGAGTGAGAAATAGTGATGAGCCTCTCTGGCGTAGAAGAAAATAGTCAGCAAATGGATGACAGAGTAATGAATTATAGGCTGTACATAAAGAGAATGATTAGTGAATTCTTAAAGATCAGGAACAATTTTTATGAATTCTACATATAATGAGGTAGGAGTGTAGGACAGGGTGGGTTCACCCTTATTTCAATGCATCCTAAAGCTGGCTCAGGTATTGCCCTGCTTCTGCCCTGTTTATTCCCTACCTAGACCTGTCCTATTGGGGTGGGGTAAGTCACTAGACCTCAATAATGCTGAGTAAATTTTTTTTTTTTTTTTTTTTTTTTTTTTTAATTCTTGATCAGTTCACTCAAAGAGTTTAAAAAATCTCTGTTATTGTTTAGTGCTTTTATTTTATGTATGAAGTTGCCAATTCTATGTAATAGATGAATTGATCATTTTATTTGAAAGTCTAGTAAGTATTGAAGGCAACTCCTAAATCCCTTAGCGGCAAACTTCAAGGAATTTAATCTCTTTTTACCCTTCAGTGATTTCTAGGCCGGATCATATTCTCTAATCATGTAGCTGTCTCTTTTTTTTTTGGTTAGGCAAGATTTGAACCCAAGCACAGCTATGTTCCCTTTCCTTACTAATCTTTCTTTCATTTTTCTTCTTGAAACAGGTGGGACTATGCAAATTATGGCTACCTTGATGCACTAAAGCACCTTACAGATCTCAAAGAAGAAGGTTAATTTTATTTCCATTTGCCGTTCAGCCATCAAATTCAATCCCAGGTTTCTTGATAACCCTCAATTACTTCATTTTATGGCATGCAGGTAAGATTAAAACCATCGCTTTGACTAACTTTGATACGGAGAGGTTACAGATAATCCTGGAAAATGAAATTCCAGTTGTTAGCAATCAGGTAACGGAACTATATTTTGTTGTTGTAATTGGCATTTCCATAGACGGAGTATTCAGTTGCTGGGAATTTTCTTGTGGGTTTCTTCAGGTACAACATTCAATTGTTGACATGCGTCCTCAACAGAAGATGGCAGAGCTTTGTCAGCTTACAGGAGTTAAACTTATAACGTCTCTCTCTCTCTCTCTGTGTGTGCTGCTTTTGATATCTCATTATTCAATTATCCACTTCCTTGATGATCAATGCCCAATCCGGATAGTTCTGCTTGCGACAGTTCTTAATTTATCTTTACTGGGATCAAATTCTATTAGGTTAAAACTTTTTTTCTCTTGAACTGGCTAATGAGTTCAATAGATTGCCATTTCTATTGTTCAAAATTGATGATCCGTTTACAGCCTCTGGTATAAAAGAACGTGTTGACAATGAACCTTTGCAAAGTTATGGCTTCGTGCACTCTTTCGAGATCTGACATAGTTTTGCATGCAGCTATGGAACTGTAATGGGCGGATTATTGTCTGAGAAGTTCCTTGACACCAACTTATCCATTCCTTTTGCTGGCCCTCCTCTAAACACTCCTTCCCTTCAGAAATACAAAAGGGTATATACTCTTAACACAACTATTGTTTTCTATATGTACTCCAAAAAATGATAACAACAGATTCATAATGAGGAAATTGTTGATATGATGGAATATGAATTATATGTAACTGATGTGGCAGGGGAAAAAAATGGAACTCTGGTTTAGGAATATGATTCCGCAATTGATTCTATAGTGTAAAAACAGGATGGAAGCTGGTCTGAAACTTGATCGCAAAGTTAAAGCAATACATGATGACAATAAAAGCATGAGAAACATTAGTCATTATTCATAGAATTAACTATTTCAGGAATGTTTTTGGGATTTGTGAATATTTCTGCAAATCATTCATTAACAAAGGGAATTTGTGACTTTTTTCATAGCATAGTTCTAAATTAATTTTTCATGTTTTGGTGATAACCTTTCGTGAATTTGCAATAATGTCGCAGATGGTTGATGCTTGGGGAGGATGGAGTCTCTTCCAGGTTTTGCTGCAAACTCTTAAAAAAGTAGCTTCTAAACATGGGGTCTCAATCCCAACAGTTGCTGTGAAATACATCCTGGATCAGGTAAAGCCATTTCACCTACTTAACCTAATGATGACATTTTTTTTTTTTTTGTAGAAAATTAATACATAGAATATACGATTTGAATGCTTCTCTTTTTGTACTTCTGTATTTTGCTACACGGTTTTGGGTTTGCAGCCAGCCGTGGCAGGATCAATGATCGGGGTTAGGCTCGGGTTGTCGGAACATATCAAAGAATCCAGTGCTGTATTTTCATTTGTTCTTGACGAAGAGGACGTAAATAGCATCCAAGAGGTTTCGAAGAAAGGGAAAGATCTGCTAAGAGTAATTGGTGACTGCGGGGATGAATTAAGGCGTGCATGAGACACTCAATTGCTTCATTGTTTGGTCACATTAGATTTTTCTTTTCCTTTTTCTTGCTCATTTTGTTTCATTAATACATACTGCATATTGTAATCATTTTGTATCAGTAAAAATGTTCGTATGCCCTGTAATTTACTAAATAATAAAACCTGTGTTTTGATCTTACTATTGCCAAGAAGTACTTTTTCTTTGCTGGTTAGACAAATGTGCCAATCACATTCACACCACATGGTCCTATCTCCCTGAAAACAGGATTTTGACTGGAACAAAAGATGTCTTCTCCAAATAAAGGGTCCCAATTTCTGTTCATAAAGGTTCTAATCTAAATGGGATTACTTCATTGGTGAACTATGCAACTTCTTTAAAATTCAATTACGGTCCACCAAGTTTCTACAGTATTTTTTAAATATAATTTTATAGTAAATTATTGATAAAACTATTTGGAAAGGGACAATACTTGAGTCCTTAAACGTAGAAATGTATATCATCTTTACAGGATGTAGAACAAATGTATACATCTTCTTTAGTTACCAAATTACTTATGATAAGATACATACTTACTTACTATATCAAAGATGGTGGTTACATATACTATCTTTGATTTGGTAATAAAAGAAATTATGTCTATTTTTTATTGGTCCATATTAGCGGTGAGGACAATATACATTTTCACTAATAAGGACCTAATCTAAGTATTGTCAAAGTATATGCATTACATGATGCATTCCATTTGTTCAACTTGATGGAACATGTTTTACCTACATAATTGAATTGGGAAATTCATATTTTTCCAAAAAAGTTGAATAGTTCATTAGAGTAGTGGGGTATTTTGATTTAGATTAGTACATTACAGGAAGGGCTCTACATTTTTATTAGTAAGAACTTAAGTATTGTCCGAGTGAATGCATTACATGATGCATTGTATTTGTTCAATTTGACGGAACAAGCTTTTACTTACATAATTGTATTGGAAAATTTAGATTTTTTCAAAGAGACTGAATAGTTCACTAGACCAGTGGGCTGCTTTAATTTAGATTAGTAAACTGCAGGAAGGTTCACATATACGCAACCTTATATTCATATTTAGTGAGATTGTTTTCATGTTTAACCCTCAAATGATGATTTCATAATGAATTGTAGAACTTATTAGAAAATTATTTTTATTAACTATATTTTTTTAGTATTTGGCTGTCTTTTTGGATTAAAAAATACAATGATAAACCTGACAGTGATTATTTGTTATGCACTGAGTCACTGATGCGACCATTGAGGCATTCCATAACAGAGATAAACACCTTACTGATGGAGGCATTCTATATGTTTTTTCAAACGTATGAAATTTTATTTTATTTTAGCATTACTTATAAATAAAAAAAAGATAAAATATTTTACCTTTGAAGATGAAAAAATGACTAGGTAAATTATTTTATTCCTAATTTTGGTGGACCGCTAACTGCCATTCTTGTCTCTCGGTAAGCATTTCTCACTCTCTCGTTCTTCTGTCATTTCTGGCTTCTCTCTAGCGCGCGCGCTCTCTCTCTATATTATATATTATATTCCAGACACACGAGTTTACTTAAACCCTAGTCTTTTCTCTGTAACTAACCTAAACCCTAAATTTGTTCGCATTCATGATTTGGACTGATTTTTATTCAGGATTTCGGGTTCGGATTTGCATGGTAAATGAATTTTGTTTATAAGATCATATTCGAAGCAGGATTCGGGGTAAGAATTTGACCCTAAACCCTAACATTAGGACAAAGGTTTACTCCAGAATCCTCCATTCCATTTCGTGTCCTACAGCATACCAAACATCTCTGACGGAATCACTCATCGTCGCTGGTATAACACACACTCTCTCTTTTATATATGTGATGCACACACAAAGTATACGTGTATGTGAGTGTGTGTCTGCACTTGTGTTTTCTTTCATTTTATTGATACTCTGGTTCTCACTTCAGTTTTTGAATCGCTCTTTGTAGCGCTCAATTGAATACGGGATTTTGTAGCGGAAGCTTGATCGGAGAACCAGAAAGCAATCATGGATGGTATGTTGTAATATGTGTGCACATCCTATTTCAAGGAAAATACTTTTTTTTTTTTTTTTCCTGGTTTCTGAACGTTAAAGAAAAACTGGTTTGATTTTTTTACTGCTAGTAGAAAGGAAAGTATTTCCAAAATGCTAACTAATTTGTAATTTTTTTCAAAGTTTTGTTGAAGCCCTTGCAACAACCAACTAAATTGTATTGTTGAGATTGTTTTTCTATCCACATTGTTGAGCTTTTACTATTTGAGATTTGGGACAATAAAGTGCAAAACAAGTTAATAATTATATGATTTTGAATCAGACCTAAATTGCCTTTGGTAATGTTGTTAATGATTTGTGAGTCGGATGCTTAATCATTATCATTTTATTAGCACACAGAATATAGGAGACATTATTACTTGAAATATTCAAATTAGGTTGAAAAAGGAAAAAAAGATTTGTGTGTGCTTGTGTGTGTATTCTTCAAATGTCACACTGTTTTTGTTACTACACAACTAAGCAAGCTTTTGGCATTGAAGCATCTCTTCACACAGGATTTATTTTAATTAAAACTGATTCCCATATTCCTTGACCTAATGTGGTGATGCTTATGTATTGTCCTTAGGTTTTTGATTATTTCATTTAGCGAAATATTTGGGAACATTATAATAACAAATTTAAACACAGAAATAAAGTGAGGTCAAATTGTATTTGTAAAAATGCAAGAAAATTCTTAACGTTTGGCTTTTCACCTGTATAATTTCATGCTTAGGCTCTCCTTCTAGATCGACTCAATCTCTAACCAAACTCGGGTTTTTGCCTTATTATAAATGTAAACTTCATAGATCGAGCTTTTATCACTTCTCTAAGCAACGGTCTCTTTTCTTTCACATCAGCAATATATTTTTTTTTTTTATAAGTAAAATGTATAAAAGGCGTTCAAAAGGGGAACGCGTCCCAAGCTATACAGAAAACTGAAATTATCATCTCAAGGAACCCACAAAGTCCACAATATCCTCAATGGAGGAAAAATCTCTCCCCCAACCCCAACAAAAAAGAGTACAAATAATAGAGAATTTCAACAACCCAACGGAGGCCTCCTTCCCATCAAAAGATCTTCTATTCCGCTCTTTCCAAATGCTTCACATCAGCAATATTTATTAATTGTTGTGAAGATTTAGAGTCAAATACCCATAATATGGTATTTGTTGACTTCTTTTTGTTATCCATAAATTCAAATTGCATAAAAGGTCTCATTTAGTTAGACTTTAGACTCTTGTATTGAGGCTTCCAGGTCTCTGTTTTGAGATCCCAGTGCCTCATCTCATACTTTTGCATGCTTAAAACTCTTGAAAATCTTGTAGCTTGCTTGAACTAATACAGAGAGTTTGAACTGATGGGGAAATTGTACTTACAAGTTGTTACCTTTTGGGAATACTTTAGTTGATTCACAGCCAACTATGGAGGAAACTATTTTGGTTGGTGATGATCTAATGATGGGGCCACCATCGCCGATCATTCCACCAGAGATTGCATCTCATGTGCTTGAAGGGGTAGATTTGTGTGATGGGATCTTGAGGAATCTATTTTTGTGTAAGTCTTGCTGCTTTCCCCTTCTTTTTTGTGTATCAATTTGTGCTTCGATAATGGTTATTTTTTCTTTTTAAATTTTGGTTTTATATTTTAGGCTTGCAAATCAATGACATTGAGCCATTTTGTCAAGATGAGATTGCTTTGTATCGGCAATGTGCTGAGAAAAGGGTGGGACGATTTTGCGCTTCTACTTCCCTTATAATTTCAATGTTAATATTTTGTAAAATCGCAGGTTTCTGAACTTGTTTTATAGTTATATCAAGCATTTCATTCCAAGTAATGGATAACTGGGTTGTAGGATAAGGAACTAAGGCAACGGCTTCAAAATAGTGAGCAGAAATTGGGGTTGTCAATGCCTTTAGATGAAGCCAAAGAAAGAGCTGCTCAGCTAGAATCAGAAATTACATCATTGGATAGGTAATTTTCTGGCAAGCATGTTAACTTGTTTGATATTGCCTTACATTAAACGTTACAATAACACATGCAATGCATTACAGACTTTATTTAATGTTCAATTTCTCCTTTGCTAAAATTTATAGTCTTTCAGATGTCGGATTTGACAGATTTGTTTCAGTATTCTTTTGATTGGATAATTTTATATAATGAAATTTTGGCCTATGCAACTTAAAGTGGGATTTGAACACCTGAATATCTTTGAAGGGCTTCTTTAATTCTTAGGCCATGACATTGAATTCCTGTTATTAGAATATGCTTTCTGATAGTATGAGTAACAGTCCAGGAGGAATGCCTTTCATGTAAACATAGAATAGGTTGATGTTTGGATAATGGTAGAAGCCTAATTGGATTATCCAGGTTCTTAAAAAGTATTAATATAACAGTCTATAGTAATTTAAATCTATTTGTCTGAATGTTAATCAATGCAGTCTGAAGTCAATCTGATCTGTTTCTTTATATCAAGTATTATATATTATGATATAGTGGATTTGTTTTCATACACATACAACTCGAAGTTGTTATTGCTGAATCTATTACTTCTGACACCAAATCTAAGTTTGTTGATGGACTCGGGCTATGGACTAAACTTGGTGGTTGTGGTAATGAGTAAGCTTGGAGAATTAAGAATTCAAAGCCGTATATATTATAGATGTGTATATATGTATGAATGTATATTAGAGAGAGAGAGATAGAGTCACAACCAGTGTTATCAATGGCCCAAGGCGCACTAAGGCACTAGAGTTCCTTTGGAGCCTAGGCGCAAGGTGCGAGGTGAGGCGCATGCCTGAGTGAAGTGAGGAGCATAATGAAAAAAATTAAATTACTATTAAATCATTCATATTCCATATCAATAGCATCTTTAATAATAGGTTTCAGAAGATCTGTTAGTTCGCCCCTCAAAACAATGCCAATGCACCCAAACTATTGGCTAAAATTGATGTTACATAATACCTCTACCATAAAAACTAGAGAGAGAGAAAAGCAGAAGTAATAACATTGTTAACCACTGGGCCGTTGGCCCAGGTGGTATAACCTTTCCTCCTTGAAGGGGAAGCGAGGGTTCAAGCACCATAGTGGGCATTTGTGGATGTTTAATATATATATATATATATATATGTAATAGCATCGTTAGAACATGAAAATATTTCAATTCTATAGGTAAGTTCTTGTGAGAATTTAGCTAATTTTTTAGCATTTATTTACCAGTTGCTTGATGTGGAGGGTAGGAGATAGGATTGAGTTGGAAGCTTAATTCTGTTAGTTTGGATCAAAGACTCGCAATTTAGTGAGGTTGATGGCAGCCAAGTATGACAAAAGTTATCTTAGTCTCTTGGTTAAGGAACTAATTAAGTACGACCATGAATGGAATGTGGACTTTGGTAAGTCATCATCTTAATTTGCAATGTTCAAAAGAGGGATTTGATTCAATTTAGCCAGAGACATGTTTTAGTTTCACTGATGATGTTAAGACATCCCTTTAATGAGATATTACAAATTTTGGATCCATTGATGGTATTAAGACGTACCGCAGAGCGCGGATAACTGGACCTTTTCATTATTTCAAGGAAGAAGTATATGTTTGGTGGGCAACTGTGAGCAGAACAGTTGATCCCCTTTATTTAAGAGACTTCAATAACAAAAGGACGCTGATAGATTATTTTAATTAGCTGGCTTATTTGAAAATTGTCAATTTCTTGCAAGGTTGTGTTAGTTTTTCGGCATGTGGCTGAGACCTGACTTGTGCTTTGTGGTGGTGTATTTGGTCCAAGAGGAACTTAAATTGGATGGATCTTCTCATTGATAGATTAAAGCATTTGTTGTTAAGATAATCCTATTGGTGGGAGAATACTTTTGCCTGACTATAGCTCTCTTTGTTGATTTTTAGTTTGAGATCAACTTTTGTAAAGGGCAAGTCTTTTGTACATCTTGTGTGCACTCAATGTGTACTTTTGGCACCTTCTTTGGAACCTTTCAGTGATATTATTTTTACTTAGTAAGAAATTTTTTATAGAGATAAAATGAAAGAAAATCAATTGAGATGGATTGGAAAGACCAATAAATTCGCCAGTTAGGAAGAATGACATGGTCCACTTTGAGCGAGGATAATACTAGTAAAAGGGGAGACCGAAGTTAATAGATTTACTATGGAAGGATCTAATAGCATGTGGTGTACTTATCCGAAAAATATATATAATAACATGTCGTTTGATTGATATTGTGGCCTTAGATTAGCTAGAGTGGAATGGAAAAATATGATTCCTGTACCTTATCAAAAAAAAAATGATTCATGTAGCCAACCCCAAGTAGTTGGGAAAAAGGTTTTGTCTAGTTGAGTTAACAAAATTATAACATGCATGGATTGTTTTTTCATTTAGTCTACAAAGATTAGCGTAGGAAAATTTGCAAATGCATCTGCAATTTGGCTCATTCAAGGATGACAATTTTTTTTTTTTTTTTGGACTAGTAAGATTGTATAAAAAAGCACTCAAGAGGGGAATGCATCCCACACAAACCACACAAGACCAAAAAGGGCCTCTAAACTCTCCATGTATTTCCAAATTCTCCCTAAAACCCAACAAAAAAGAGTGCTAATAATGGAGAACTTTAACGCACCAATAGGATTTTCCTTTCCATCAAAGGATCACCAAACACACAAAGGCGTAATCTTCCAGAAATCACGGACTTGGGCCCCCACTATACACCTTCTCCAAGCCTCCACCAAGTCTCTCGAGGATATGGGCATAACCCACTTGAATCCAAGCAAACCCAACATCATGACCCAACAGTCTCAAGCCACGGGACAATGCAAAAGAAGGTGATCCTCTGTTTCCTCACCTTTATTACACATGTAGCAGCAGTTGACCACGACGTCTCCTCCTCCTTAGGTTATCCTGAGGCAATATCTTCTCCAACACAGAAGTCCAAGCAAAGAAAGCCACCTTAATGGGAGCCTTAGTTTGCCAAATAAGCCTGTAATGGGAAAGGATCTCCATCGAACATCAAAACAGCCATGGGAGGAGGGAACCCACATCCATGAGTCAGAAACTCCACTCACAATCTCATGGCGGTACAGCGTATCCAGCAAACTGATGACGTCCTCAATCTGCTAATCCTAAAAGTGCCGCAAAAAGCGCATGGCCCAAGTTGTTCTCCCGCTATCGGCTTGATAGCAGTCAACTACCAAGGCATCTCTATCTGTAGCGATCCTGAAGCGTCTAGGAAATATGAACGCAAGAGATCGATTTCTACACCATAAATCCTCCCAAAAGCGGATCCCCCTACCATCTCTAACACGAAATCTGATGTGTTTGGAGAATTCATCCCACCCCTTCCAAATGGATTTCCACGCCCCCAACACCAGCTGGAGATCTCACCTCCAAAGAACACCGTCCGCCTTGAGATGCTTGGAGGGCTACTCCCTTTTATATTTGCTGGGGTTTGTGGCGTGAGAGGAATAAGAGATCCTTTAAGGGAGAGGAGTCTCCTATTTGGTCTCTTAAATTCAATATTCTATCTACTTTATTCTTTTGGGTTAATGGGAGGGATTGTAACTCTATAGATTGTCTTTTGGACTTTGTGGATAACTTAAAGTTATAGTGCCGCCTTGGTCGGCTTTGTTTCCTCTGGGAGCACTCCCCTTTTGAGCGCCTTTCTTCAATATAATCTTACCTATCAAAAAATAAATAAAAAAGAAAATAAAAAAGGAACACCGTCTGCCCCTCATCTCCCCAAATTTGCTAGCAATCATCTTCCTTAGTCTGTGCCTCTCCAACCCCAAAATGTATTATGGTTCAGCTAAATAAGTTAGTGACAGAAAAGTATTAGGGTTCATGTTACGAAACTTTTTTGCCCATCTTCTTTATGAACAAGGAGAAATTTTAATGCTTATGCTTGTAAGTAGTAACAAGAGGAGCTCTTTGCCACTTGAAACCAGACATAGTCTCCTTTCCCCGGGGTTGGTACCCGCTTATGATAATGTAAGGCTCTAAAAACAAGAGACTCCGATGACCTTGCAATTATATGTTATGAGAGAAGTTGCATTCTTTAAACTGCAGTTTACCTTGAGCTTGGTGTTCCATGCGCCTAATGGTACAGGTGGAAGATTTATTTTTATCTCATTCTACTACAGCTATAAAATTTTGCACCTTGCTTTTCTTTTTTATATAAAATAATGTATCGCAGAGGTTATTAATTGCAATAATCATATTTTATATTTGTTTTTAAACAACATTGTAGGCGGTTGATTCTGGCTAGTGGGGTTGAAGGTATGGAAGGATTTCGGCAGAGATGGAGTTTGCATGGCCGCCTCACAGATACCAAGTAACATTACACATCCTTGTTCTTTTATGAAGCAAGCACATATGGCATATAATATGTGTTCCCTCTTCCATCAGGGCACTCAATTTTTAAGCAGTTGTTCAATTTTAGTTGAAAAAAATTGGAGGTGAAAACAAGCTCTAGTCTGCTGCAGTGGTTTTGTCTCGTAGATGCGTTTTTTGGATATTATATGATGATCAGTGAGTTGCATTGGTAATTGGCTGGCATCAATTGGCCAGGCTATGCCATAAATCACTGTGTATAGAGTGATGAATGGTGGACCCCCCTCCACCCACACAAAAAAGCCCCCAATAAGTAATAATTACAAAGTGTGCTATTTTTGGTTTAACATGAGCTGTATAAATGTTATTATTGTTGTTATTATTATTAAATTACTTTTGGTGACGGTTGTTATCTGAGTCTGTATCCTCCGCTTTGTGATTATTATTGGCCATCGTTATATACTTAAAATTGAGTTTAATGCAGGAGAAGGCTGGAGGCCCTGAAGCAGGGAATAGAAAAGAGGAAAAAGGACGAGCCAGTTGGAGGTTCAACCACCAAAAGATGGTTTTTTGGGTGAAAGAAGGTGTTGCCTTGCTTAAGTACCGAATGGATTTATGTCCAGCCTGAAGATGAAGCGTACCTCTGGCTATTGTTTTCTTAGGGAGGTTTTTGAACTATCATACCAGTGTTATTTGAGAATTCCAGTGAAGCATATCTTGGCGCTAGAGGAGTTTGGCGCACGATATGCGATAGCAGATAGGAATAGCCTTTGAATGCCCACATACAGTTTGTGTGAGTTAATCAAACATTTTATGGATTTCAAACTATTGAAGGCAACCTCAGGCTTAGGATTTAGAAAGTTCTTAATGCCAGCCATTTTTGGGCCATGGCAGGAAGAAGTGATTGTGGGGAGTGTCCCAGTTTCTTCTTTTCTAGTATTCCACTTGTATGTGTTCCTGTTTGATTTGGTAGGAAAAGTACTCCACATATTCTGAAGTGGTTAATAAAAGAAAAAATATTTTGTGATCTGACATCAATCCATATTTTCTCTTAGTAAAGTTTGTTGCAGCAGAACTGTTAATTAATCATAATCTTACTCCATGGTCAAAGAATTGTGTTGGACTTCAATTAACATAAGCTCATTTGCATGGATACGACTACAAATCAACAGTGTAATTGGAAACATTTTTGGATGATATCATGTTTTTGACCCAGAACCAAAACGGGGATGAGTATCGAGGGAGCTTATAACCAGCTTGAGAAAACCTGCTTGCATTGGAAACCATAGAGCTAAAAGGGCATCTGGAAGCTTACACAGGATTGCTGCATGACAATTGGTGAACCTCTTAAACAAAGTTTCATGAAACAATTGATGGATTATTATACAAGGACTGCACAAACTACAAACAAAAGAATTACACACCTCCAACCCCTCTACTCCTCTTTTTCTATGTAAAGAAAAAAGAAACAAAAAAAAGAAAAAGAAAAAAGAAAATATATCAGTGTAGATTCAGCTCTATATCTGATAGTGGTCGTCTTACATTACGATCTCTCTAAGTACAAATTATTTGAAAGAATGACTAGCAGGCCGTGGCGACATTCTGTAGCTTCATCACCCTGACGGTGCTTTTACCAGACATCTTATAACTAGTGCAAGTTGGTTACTCATCTGTATTAATGTTAGACCAGCAGAATATATTTGGTCTGAATAGCTATTTAACTTCTAAAATCCAAGAGGTACATTCTTGTAGTAGTTGAAACTTTTGATGCATGGCTATGTTGGAGAAAACCTGCATTTTCTTGTGGAACTCAGACACATCTTCCTTGCACCTAAATGAGCCAGCACATGCACAATGCTCAGCTAAGTGTGCAGCTTTGACCTGGTTGCACTTGAGGCATACCAGATCTTGCAGATGGTATACACGTTCCCTCTGCCGAACAATCTGAAGTAGAGCATTCTCCAACACCTCACGGTTGTACGGCTGTCCACACTGTGGCACAGCACAGCGCCACTCCTGAGACAGTAGAGCTCTGTCACGACATAAATCTAGGTCTCTGCAGTCATTGCAGTAGCTGTCAAAATAACAACTGAAATCAGCACCCGGTAGTCTGAAGGCTAGAATCTGATACTTAATTTTGATAGAATTAAACAATGAATAGATTGATCTGGAGAACAATTATAATATGGAGAACTATTGCCCACTTGTCACCTGCAAATGACATTTGGTAAAGTGAAGGACAGACAATGATCTTGAAACTCAGCTTCTGGTGCAAACTCCCTCACGCGCACAAATTTCAGTAGATTCTTCCTCATGATCTGTACAACAAGGGAAATGAATAAGACAATCACTTCGCTAACCAGAGCATGCCACATAATACTGCTATCAACCAGATCCAGTTGTCAGCAGAAGTTTATTCTGTTTTCGGAAAGCATGAAAAGAGTATAAAAGCTCACTGTTCGACAGTTTTTTGAAAACTAAGTTAAAAAAAGGGATGTTTTCTCAAGTTTAATGTTTTCAGAGTTCTTAAAACTAGTTTTAAATAACTGAAACAAACAGGCTTTAGCTTCTCCAGGAAATGGAAGAACCATAATGTTAGCTGCAATCAGATGATATTTTAGAAGGCTAAACCAGAAAATTAAAAATCCTGGTGAACAAAAAGTGCTTCTTGTATAACATATCTGATAATTTTAGCTGTAAAGAGAAATTGTTTAGAAGGCAAGACCAGAAAATTAAAAAAAGGCATGAACAGAAAATTAAAAAGTTTGGGTGAACACAAAGCTCTTCTTTCGTTATATATCCGATTCATGGACATTGTAATTCAGTCCCAGTTATGCATTTTTTCCCGAAGTAAACTTGCATTATCCAAAGAAACCGAACTACAAGGCCAAGAGAGAGGAGGGCATACCCTCACTTAACAATTGAAAAAGACCATTTCCAAAACCCAAAAATTAAAAAGAATATAGAGAAAAAATCACTAAAACTCAGGACCACTGCCAACCTGAGAAGCAAAACACTACGAACAACTGAAAACTTAAAAACACAACACACTAGCTCATCATCCTGCAGCTTCAACAACTGAACAGAAAGAACCCAGAAAGAAAGAGTCCACTGATGCTTAATCATTAATCCATTTCTGGAAGTCATTTAGATGCACTCCACCAATCTCATTCACCTCCCAGAACAACATTCTGGCAAGCTGATTAGCACTTGGAGCTGTACCCTAAGTATGGTAACACGATTTATAGTCGTCTAGACATCCAGTTGAGGTTATGGATGTCTGAATCAGGATACTAGAATGGATTGGCATACAAAATAAAAAATCATAAGATCCTATAATATGGGAAGATATCAAAGAAATGTGTATTGATGATACAAAAACTTGAAAAAACTGAAAGTACACAAAAATAGATAGAGCAGAGACAATGTATAAAACAAATCAGGATACTGGCAGAGTCGAGCAATAAAACTAGGCAACGTAAATGATTTGTGAAAGAAACAAAAGATGATCACAGGAAGAAAAAAAAAAGGCAATGGGAAGGAGAAGAATAATAAGAGGCTGGGGAGGTAGGAACTGTTAATTTTAAAATAATAATAATAATACAAAAAAATAAAAAAAAAATAAATGAAAAGAAAGCAGGTAACCAAACAAACACCAAATTAAACATTCAATTCTAGATTTTTCAACTTATGTAACAATTGTTGGAGAAAATTGCATCAAACTTGCAAGCATGCCATGCTTTGGATGAAAAAAGACCCACTGCATGATTTGATATAGATATATTATGCTTAAATATTTGAAGTATGCATTACCAGAATATCATGCTGAACATTCTGGTCAAGTGCCAGAACAGCACAGACATGCTTAATGAACTCTAGAGCAGGATCACCCATATGGATATTACTGAGAAGTTGATGATTTCCATATGACAAATGTTGGTCTATCTGCGACTTGTCCGTTCCCTTCATATGAAGATTGGTATCGCGAACTATCCTAAACAGTTTGTCTGTGAAGTGAGAACTGATCTGCAGAACATAACAATTATAAAAGTAAAGAACCTAAGTAGAACAAGGAATCAAGAAATTATACAAGCTTTGGCAAGTACACCTTTTTCCATACCTGCTCCCTAAGATGTTCTGTCATGTGTTTCTCAAAAGTTTCAGCAGCTGCAGCAGTAATTGATGGAGTGCATAAGTTGTCATCATTCAAAGATGCTCTAATTGCAGCTTGATTTTGTGTATATTTCCATGGAATGTACATAAATTCAGAGACAACCACAATAAAGTGATCCTGTATAAAAGTCCACGAGATGGTTGTGTCAGTCGTGGTATGGGAGGAAAATCATATCATAGATCAAAGATGATTAGGTTGTGGTTACATGATTCCAATTTAATAGAACTGAATTACACCACTAACATGAATTTTCATACAGCATGTCCTCCTTTCAAACAGAGAAGCATAGTTGAATGACTAACCTGAGTTTCTTTGGGTAAGTTCTCAGCAATATTCCAGCTTGATACAATATCAACTTGAGAATCATCATGTTCGCTTCCATCACTTGGTTCCAAATTACCTTCTGATGATCCACCATGGACTCTAGCTTGGATTCCACCATAGTTGTACTATCATAGAAAAATCCAAGAGAAAAATAAAATTATCAGAATATTGAAATCAGATAGTTCATTTTTTATTTATTTATTTATTTATAAATTACTACAGAGCAATCCTGGTGCTGTCAATGCCCTTCAGTGGTCAGTGCAGAAGAAATAAAAGCAGGTGATATCAAAGTGTCAGCCATTATTCCGAGAGATTTCCTGATTCTTTCAGGCAAGTGATCGAACCGGCTATCTGTTCGAGCTCATTCAGGCGAATTCTTCCTTGAATATGAAGAGCGAAAAAGCAAAGGTCGGGAGGAACTAGCTTCTTACCCTTTGGATGAACCTAGGCGGATTAACCGGGAGCTGGCTAACACCAATTACAGTTGCAGAAGTACGCAGTTTTCATGGTCTAGCTACCTTTTATAGACGGTTCATCAAGAATTTCAGCACTATAATTGCTCTGGTGACTGATTGTTTTAAAAAAAAAGGCTAGTTTGAATGGACAAACAAAGCTGAAAAGTGCTTCCAGCAGATCAAAGAAAAGCTATGTTCAACCCCTGTCCTTGCATTACCAGATTTCAAATATATTCTAGAATTGGGATTGGAGATGTTCTAAGTCAAAGGGGAAAACCAATAGCATTCTACAGCGAGAAATTGAATGATACAAGGCAAAGATATAGCACCTATGATCAAGAGTTTTATGCCATTGTTCAAGCTTTAAGGCACTGGCAGCATTATTTGCTTTCCCATGAGTTTATTTTGTTCAGATCATGAAGCTTTGAAGCATATAAATAGCCAAAAGAAGTTGAATACGAGGCATGGAAAGTGGGCTTCTTTCCTCCAACAGTTCACTTCTGTGTTAAAGCATAAATCTGGAGTTAGAAATAAAGTGGCAGATGCTCTTAGCAGGAGAACCATATTGCTGAATGTCTACAACCATTGAAGGATTTGAATCTTTCAAAGATTAATATCCTCCTAATCCTTATTTTGGAGCAGTTTGGAGTGCTTGCACTAATGGACAAGAAGAAACATATGTGTTGCATAAAGGATTTCTCTTCAGAGGCAATCAGTTGTGCATTCCAGAATGTTCTCTGCGAGAAAGAATCATTCTAGATACGCATAAAGGAGGCTTAGGCGGACATTTTGGAAGAGATGAGACATACGCCATGATTGAGAAGTACTTTTGGCCCAAAATGATGAGTGATGTGTACCGGTTTGTTGATAGATGCCAAACATGTCAAGAATCCAAAGGAAAAGTCCAGAATACCAGTCTTTACAAACCAATGCCTGTTCCTACAGCACCATGGGAGGATATAAGCATGGATTTCATGTTGGTGCTGCTTAGAACCTGTTGGAAATCATATCTATAAGTTGACTCAATGATTGTAGCAAATTTATTGGATCTTCATTATAGGCTAATGTTTAGGGATTTTATTTTTATTCTGATTTAATTTTATTCTCTTTCCATATTTGTAATTTTCCTCTTGTATATAATGATAGTCAGCCTCTCAAATTGAGTACGTCAATTTTACCAAGTTACTTTTTGGTATCAGACTCTCAAACCAACGCCTCCCCCCTTTCTTTCTCTTTCACCGCCTCTTTTGATCTCTCTCTCTATCTTGTCATAGCCCCTTCCCTATTTCTTTTTCCCTTTTCTTCACAGACCCTCTCTTCTTCAGGCCGCTGTTGCGACAGTCCTAGGGGGAGCCAATCTCCTCTAGGTTCGACCCCTGTAGGGGTATTCCCTTAGTCTTTTTCATGCACTAAGGGTCAGAAGACGTGTTTGTAATTTTTTGGGGCTGCCGGGATATTCGGTAGCATTTTCGGATCAGACCGCCGTATCTCCGGCTTCTTGATTTGATCAAAATCAGGTTTATTCCTCCTTTATTTGAAATTATTGGTGATCTGTTGAATTGTTCTATTTAATATTATGGCTGAATCAAGTAATAATAAAGAAACTCTCTTTTCGGCGCAACACACACCGGTTCAACGAGTTACTAGTGTGCTGTTGAATGGCCGTAATTTTGCATCCTGGGCTCGTTCCCTTCACCTCTATGTTGGTGGAAAAGGCAAATCAGGGTGGATTTTGGATACTGAAAAGATGTCAGATATTAAATATCCTAAATATGCTCAGTGGGATATGGACAATTGCACCATTTTAGGATGGATGTTTAATTCTATAGAGGAACGCATTTATAAAATATTCAGGTTTTATGACTCTGTTAATGACTTGTGGACTGCTTTGAATCAAATTTATGCTTATTCTAAGAATGATGCTCGTATTTTTGAATTATACCAAGATATTGCTAAGGCCTCGCAGGAAGGCCTGAATTTGTGTGTAGCTAATTACTTTGGGTATTTGAGATCTCGTTGGGAGGAACTAGCTCAATATGAGCCTCTCAGTGAATTTCCTTTCGAGGCAACCTCTCTTCTTGTCAAATGTCTTGATCGTCAGCATACCTATCAGTTTTTGATGGGATTACGCCCAGAATTTGAACCACTAAAGTCTCAGATCTTGAATGTATCACCAATGTCATCCCTCTTGGAAGCCTTTGCTACTGTTGATGGTGAAGCACGCAGGCACCGTTTAATTCAGCCCTCACTTGTTCCTCTACCAGTGTCTGAGCCTGCTGGGGATAGTATGGCTTTTACAGCCAACTTTGGATCACGTGCTTCTGGAGGTCAGATTATTTGTCACCATTGTGGAGGGGTTGGACATGTTAAGGCTCATTACTTCAAATTTCATCCTGAACTGAAGCATAAATTTTCTAGGAACCGTTTATCTGGAACTGGTACTTCTCGTACTACGGCTGTTACAGAGACTCATGTTACTACTGGTGGATCTACTGTATTTCCTGGACTGAGCCAACTTCAGTCTTAAATTGGGCAGATCCAGGACCAGCTTGGCTCCCTTGCTTCTAGAGTTGGTGCTCCTTCAGCTGCTCCCACTGCCACTATTGTTACAGGTACTCCTACTGCATTTCATGTTAAGGCCAAGCAGCCCACTTGGGTTCTGGATTCTGGGGCCAATGATCACATGACTGGTGAGTTATCAGTTTTTTCTTCCAATGTGATACCTGTTACCCAATCTGTGTATCTTGCGGATGGTTCTACATCTTACATTCACAGTAAAGGTGATGTTTGTCTGTCTCCTGATATTACTCTTTCATCTGTCCATCACGTACCTAAATTTGCCTTTAACCTTTTATCTGTTAGCCGGCTTGCAAAAAACCTCTAATGTGCAGTTATATTCTTACCAGATCACTGTTTGTTGCAGGACCTTTGTTCGAAGAGGATTTTTGGCAGGGGTTATGAGTGTGATGGGCTTTACTACTTTAGGGAACCACCAGGAACGAGTCTTCAAGCTTCTGTCCTACCTACTTCTAGTGTTTATGATGTTTCTTTTCGCACTTTTAGTCTGTGGCATGCACGTTTGGGACATGTAAACTTTCAGTATCTATGTCGTCTATTGTTTCCTTCGTTAAATAAGGCATGTAAGGACCATAAGTTTCAATGTGAAGTTTGTGAGCTTTCTAAACATACTAGAACTAGCTATATTTCTCATATGAGTCGTGCTCCTAGTATGTTTGATCTTATTCATTCTGATGTCTGGGGCCCTTCCCCAGTTACTGCTTTTTCTGGACATCGATATTATGTGACATTTATTGATGATTATTCTCGTTGTACTTGGGATTATTTATTGAAAAAGAAATCTGATGTGTTTCTTTTATTTACCCAGTTTCTTCAAATGATCAAAACTCAGTATAACACTGTTGTCAGTAATATTCGTTCTGATAATGGACGTGAATATATTTCAAATGAGTTCCAGACTGAACTTAATAAAAAGGGAATTTTACATCAACTCACTTGCCCCTACACTCCTGAGCAAAATGGCGTGGCTGAACGCAAAAACCGTCATCTTATGTCTGTGGTCCGATGTCTTCTGAGTGGTATGCATGTGCCTAAATTCTATTGGCATATGGTTGTTCTTACAGCTACTTTTCTAATTAATCATACTCCCAGTCGAGTTTTGGGTGGTAAGGCCCTACTTCAGATTCTCCAGCCTGATTATACATTGTTTCACCTTCTGCTCGTGTTTTCAGCTGTACTTGTTTTGTTCATAACCGTAGTCATTCTCGTCATAAACTTGATGATAAATCAATTGGGTGTATTTTCTTGGGGTATTCTGCTATGTCAAAGGGTTATCGTTGTTATGATCCTGTGGTCAAACATATGTATCATTCTCTTGATGTGATATTTCATGAAACAGCTACTTTTTATAGTACTAATTCTGTGGTACAGGATTCTCTCTCTTGTGGTCTGGAGAAGGAGATTTCTCCTATTGCCCGTCCTGTTCCTCTCTTTGAAAATCACATTGTCCCAGAATCTCCTTCTCCATCCATGCAGGGTTCCCCTCCACCTTTGCAGGTCTATTCTTGTCGCCATCGCACTCAACCTACCCTGCCAGAATCATCTTCAGAACCAGGTTCAGGTAACTCTCCTTCTCCTATGGCTCCTACCATTCCTGAGCATACCTCCCGTTATCCTACCCGTGATCATCACCCTCCTAATTGGTATGGTTTCTCTAGTAGCACTAGCCACCCTATTTCCCAGTATGTCTCCGATGATAGTCTTTCAGGTGCATATAAATCTTTCCTGGGCAAGATTAGGACCATTTCTATTCCTTGATCAGTGTCAGAGGCCCTCCAGGATCCCAATTAGGTGTCTGCCATGACAACAAAAATGGATGCTTTACAACATAATAATACATGGGAACTTGTTGCTTTACCTGCTGAGGAGAAAACGGTTGGCTGCAAATGGGTCTTTAATGTGATGTACTTAGCCGATGGTTCTATTGATCGGTATAACGCTCGGTTGGTGGCAAAAGGCTTTACTCAGATTCCGGGAAAAGACTTTGGTTCTAACTTTGCTCTTGTGGCAAAGTTAACGTCTGTGCAACTACTTATCTCCTTGTCTACGGCCCATTCTTGGCCTCTGCATCAGTTAGATGTCAAGAATGCATTTCTTAATGGAGACTTACTTGAGACTATATATATGGATCCACCCCCTGGATTTCGGGCTGAGAGGGAGTATGCTGGGAAAGTCTGTCGGCTGCGGAAGTCTCTTTATGGCTTGAAGCAATCTCCTAGAGCTTGGTTTAGTCGTTTTAGCGATGTTCTACCATGGGCTTTGTGCGTTGCCACTCAGACCATACATGCTTTATTCGACGTCGCTATGATGGTCGCTGCATTATGTTATTGGTATATGTGGATGATATCATTATCACAGGTGATAATGCTTCAGGGATTGCTCAGGCGAAACTTCATCTTCAAAAGTCTTTTGATGTGAAGGACTTAGGTCCTCTTTGATATTTTCTTGGAATTGAGGTTGCTAGATCCCGTCGTGGAATTTCTTTATCTCAAAGGAAATATGTTTTGGATCTTCTTCAAGATACTGGCATGCTTGGGTGTCGACCCGCTTCCACTCTGTTGAGTCAGGGGAATTACTTCCAGATCCATCCGTGTATCAACGTTTAGTAGGTTGTCTTATCTACTTGACTAACACAAGGCCCGATTTGACATTTACTGTTAGTGTGGTTAGTCAATTCATGCATGCCCCTCGCTCAGCTCATATGGATGAAGTCTACCATATTTTGAGGTATCTTAAGTCATGCCCTGGTCTTTGTCTATTCTATGCCTCAGGAAATCAGTCTGGACTCTCATGCTTTACTGATGCAGACTATGCTAGATGTAAGACAGATAGACGTTCTACCTCTGGCTTCTGTACTTTCTATGGTAATCATCTCATATCATGGAAGAGTAAGAAGCAAGCTGTTGTCTCCAGATCCTCTGCTGAAGCTGAATACCGAGCTATGGCTCAAGGTACTTGTGAGCTCCTTTGGCTTCAATCAATTTTGGGAGAGTTGGGTCTTGTAGAAAAAGGTTCTTCAAGGCTGTTTTTGTGACAATAGATCAGCCATTATGCTTGCTTCCGATTCTGTTTTACATGAAAGGTCGAAACATATTGAGGTAGACATTCACTTTATTCGAGAGAAGGTTCGATTAGGTATCATTAATCCTATTTTTGTTCCCTCTTCAGAACAGACTGCAGATGTGTTCACAAAGTTTGTCGGGCCTTCTCTTCTCCAGTCTTCCATAGTCAAGCTGGGCTTGGTCAACATATTTGCTCCAGCTTGAGGGGGAGTGTTGGAAATCATATCTATAAGTTGACTCAATGATTGTGGCAGATTTATTGGGTCTTCATTATAGGCTAATGTTTAGGGATTTTATTTTTATTCTGATTTGATTTTATTCTCTTTTCCATATTTGTAATTTCCCTCTTGTATATAATGATAGTCAGGCTCTCAAATTGAGTACGCCAATTTCACCAAGTTACTTTTGAACCCAAAGGGGAATGGATTCGATTTTTGTGGTTGTAAACAGATTCTCTAAGATGACTCATTTTATTTGCTGCAAAAAGACTATGGATGAATCAAATTTTGCAAATCTATACTTCCAGGAAGTTGTTCGCTTGCATGGAGTGCTAAAAACAATCACATCACACCGAGACTCCAAGTTTTTGTTACATTTCTGGAGAGCTTTATGGAAGAAATTAGAAACTAGGCTGCAGTATAGTAGTTCCTACCATCCTCAAACAGATGGACAAACTGAGGTAATCAATAAAAGTTTGGGAAATATTTTGAGGTGTTTGGTTGGCAAGAACCAAAGCAATGGGGGGCCGTCATTGCACAAGCTAAATTTGCCTATAATTACTCCAAGAATCAATCTACTAGAAAAAGTCCCTTGAAGTAGTATACGGAAGACAACCAACTAAAAATGATTTGGCTCCAATACCACAGATTGGGAAGAGCAATGCAAAGGGTGAAACCATGGCTGATGAGATCAAAAGGTTGCATGATGAAATTAGGCTGAAAATTGAAGAATCAAATGCCAATTATAAGGAGGATGCAGACAAGAAGAGGCATGTCCAGAGCTTTAAAGAAGGCGAAATGGTGATGGTTTACTTACGAAAGGAGAAGTTCCCAGCTGTCTCTTATTCTAAACTCAGCAAGAAGAAGATTGGACCTTATCGAATCATCAAGAATATTGGGGAGAATGCATATAAGATTGATTTACCTCTGCACTTGGGTATTGATCCTACATTCAATGTTTCGGATCTGTATCCATACCAAGATGGAAGTAAAGATAGGGTTGCTGGACAGAATTTAACTCTTGGATGAGTTTCTTCCAAGGAGGAAGGATTGATGTAGACAGTTGAGTCTTATTAATGCAGTCAATAGTATCTAGTCAAGGTTTTAATTATGGTGTGGGAAATTTGAAAGTGTCCTGGGAATAGAAGTTATTAAAAATGCTCTGTGGGTAGTAGTCCAAAAGTCAAGTCTAGAAAATTGAAGTATCATTAATAGTCTTATTATAAAAGGACAGACCTCTATATCTGTAGTATTCAAGTCTTAATCAATATCAATTTGAGTTATTTCATAGTATAAACAGTTCTTCAGGCTTTTCCCAGATTTCTGTTTAGAAATCTAGGCTCCAACAGTGATTGGAGTATTTCTTGTCTTCCTTGCTATTGTAAGAAGACGTGTCTTTTCTGTTGCTTCAGGAGTTCTAAAACATTTTTTTTTTTTTTTTTTTTTTTAAAAAAAAGCAACTATGTTACGTGAAAAGAATCATATCTGTAAGCTTGAAGAGAGATGAACAATGAAATTGATAGTGTATTAATTTTTTTAAACATTGATAACTATCTATCTCCCAACAATGAACCTAGAAGCTACAGACAAGGGCAAGAAAAATCCTGAAGTCACTACCTAACACTTGGTACTTTTCAGTAGAATCGTATTTCTTCACTTGGAAAGGGAGACAAGCATCCTTTTGATGTCAGCTTTGGAAAGGAGAAATAAATAGAAGAACAAGTTCAAAACATCCAAACAAAATGTGGAAGTAGGTAGATACCGGGATCCAAACCAGAAACCATCGTGAATATCCTTATCAAATATATGAATAGAGCATGGGGCCCCATAGACAAATGCCTGATTAGTACCTAAGAGGAAGACCAGAGTGTTCATTGTATCACGTTGTGATTCATCAAATGATTCTCAGAAGTTTATTCATAAGCGTTATCCCAGTGGAAGGATTTTTTTTTTTTTTTTTAAAGTGTATTCTTAAGCATAATGCCAATACATTAAATTGATTTTATAGGTTTAAGACGTCCCAAATATTGGAGTAAAATGCACGTCCTCATTTGGCAAGGATTAAGAAAAATGAAGTGGAATGAACACAAGAGAGAATTGACACTAAAAAGAATAGAATGAGCTAACCTGATCCATAAAAAGCAAGGAATGCCAGAACTGCAAAGGTTCGAGTTCAATCCACTCGAATAGGTCTCTATAGAACAGCAAAGACAAAGATTACAGAAGGCAAGAGAAGAGAAAGAAACCTATCAAAGACAACTCTTCAGAATTTGGACAAAGACCAACCTAGTTTGCAGAGTTTTAAGTAAACTGTCACAGTAGGCTTTAGCTCCAGATAGATCTGGTTTTCCTGTGTCTACAATGACTTTTGAGAAGTTGGCGAATATGATTGTGGCACCCAACTTGCGGAACTCAGCCAACAGTAGTGCAAACACTTTTTGCATGACCTGCAAACATAAATGTCAACTGAAAAAATTCATATCGTAATTGACTATGAAAAAGCTAATCAAAAGAAAATCACAAATTTAAAAGGATGAGCACTATTTAGAAAATATACCAATAATTACAGAAATTTGCCTCATCGGAATTTGTAACAGAAGCTTGGTGGAGCAAAACAATCCTACCCTCATACAAAAAACCAATCTCTGTCCTAGAAGTATTGAGCGTATTTGAAAGTATTTTTCAGGACCTTCTTTTTAATATTGTAGCATCTGTCCTAAAGAATTTAATTAATTACAGAAATTTGCCTCATCAGAATTCGTAACGGAAGTTTGGTGGAGCAAAACAAGACAATTTTCATCAAAGGATTCCAACCACGGATCGTTTTAACCCCTCCGACATTATTACTATTGGGGGAAGGAACAGTTTACTTGGTCCCATTTTATTTGTTCTTTAGATGCTTCTGACTTGTTTTTTGCTCTCTCTTTACCTGAAAGATTTCTCGTCCTTTTCACTTTGTACTCTTCCTTTTCTATCTATTATGATGCAATTGATTTTATATAAATAAATTAAAAATAAAAAAAAATCAATATTTTGATAAAGAAAAGAAAAATAAAATATAAGTACAACATAAATATTGAGTGCAACTTTATTTGCATGATAAAGTTCTTTTCTCATGTTTTAAATAATCTTTTGTCACAAGTACTACAAACTCCAGTGTCCCAACTGATACAAGGTGGAAAGAGATACCACATATAAAACAATCTTCAGGTTTGTGATCTAAAAAAGAATATACCTTATGAAGCACCCGGTGAAGAGTTGGATCATGAAGTTTTGACTGGGGGCTGCAATAAAAGGGGGGAAAGTTTAATTTGATGAGACAAGGACAGATGCATATGTAACAAGTAAATGCATTACAACCTGCAAAGCCATCGATATAAATGCTGCAATATTGCATCAGCAAATACATTCCCAGATGTAACTGCATCTGCAAGGCATCTTTGGATTAATTGTTTGAGGACCCGAAACGCAGGTGCACATGAGGTGGCCTCGTCAAAGCAACACTGTTCATTATGTGCTCCAGTATCCAGGTCTAATCCAAATAAAGCACCTCCTTCCATTTCATTCACTTGGTTGCTTTTCAGAAGAGCATTAACAGCCAGGTGGTGGATCTGAATAAATCAACAGGGTTAATATACACAATCCTCAACAGAATATAAAAAGAAAAAGAAGAAAGAGAGAGAGTACTGGACCTTTAGCTCCACAGTGACTCTTCTATATGCTCCAGGATAAGTAAGAACAGGTTGATTTACCTGTTTTGGAAAAATTACTGGTAAGTTCACGGAAAAGGTGAAACAAAACAAGAGATTTTCTTCAGAAAACCAGCAAAAATAAATTCTAAATGGATCAAAAATTGCACCATCACCCAGATCAACCAAGATGTATATCAATTTGACACCAACCTCATCAGCAAAACATGAATCTTCTTCAGTAATGCCTCCAAGGTCTGGAATGCCATTATCAGATATCCATAATACCTGTAGAATTTCAAATCTTAACTTAAATAAATTGATTGAGCATGTAAAATGTAAATACACAAAATGCATCATAGAACACGCAAAAGACTTCTTTCAACCAATGGTTCTATCAAGATGTATACACCCATAATCATTGGGTACAGAAGCCTATCATTAAAATGAACTCCATTAAAACGAGATATCCAATTACATAAACGGTGATAAAACTTGGGTTGAACAGAAAACCATTTAAATGGGCTACATGTCTTCAAGCTGTTTGTATCCAAGAAGTTAAAGTAACATCATAAAATAGTGAAGAGGAGACCTGTTGCTGATCACGTAGTGCTCTTGAGAAGAAGATATCTGCTGTATGTATAAGCCAATCAAGTTCAAAATTCCCCAATGGAACCTGATTCAGTAAGAATATCAAGCATTCATAACCAATAAGCATAAACATTAAGGACAGATGGGCTAGCTATGTGAATAAAAATATTACATGGGCATATCTAGAAAGAGAAATTCTCTCATTCAACCACTGAGATGATGCAGCACATCGTTGCATTCCAATTTTTGTTGCTACAATCTGCCACCCAAGAGCCTATATAGAACAAGAAGATAAAACATCAACGTGTTTCAACTGATGCATAACAGAACTGAAAATCCAAAGCAACAAATGCATATGAAGCAGCCGCTGGTTCAGAATTGACCTGATAGTGACTATCGCGAGCATTGGAAGGGATGTTCACACATGGGAAATCATTTAGAGCTCGTACACCTGACTTCATCAAATGAACATTTGGGCATTCAATGACAGCAATTGCAGGTCCATGATGCTGAGGGCTGTCAATTGTTACAAGACAAGCATACTGAATGTCTGACAAAGCGAAAGTAAATCTGAGAAGCATACTGAATGTCCCACAAAGCAAAAGTAAACATAGATAATGAAAAGAACCTGTGCTCATTTATTGTTCTTTGTAAAATCTTTTCGGCATCCTTAACATATTTAACATAGTCCACCTGAATATGAGTATGCATTACAAAGTATTAAAGATACAAAGCTGCAGTACTGAGGAAAGTAAGCAAAGAAAGAAATATTTCAGTTGAAACAAGAAGTTCACCTTAAAACTGATACTGTCTCTAGCCATGGGGGGTTCAATAGACAACGCTTGGCAGGCTTCACGGAATTGTTTCTCAAGAATATGTGGTGATAATTCCTTGTTCTGGAAAGGATTAACCACCACAACTGATATTGTCCTAGATGCAGGAAAATATCCAACATATATAGCTCGCCCCTCGGAGATGCTGAATATGAGGGGACAAAAAGGGTTATCAAAAGCAGAAATTTCATGGTTCTTTTTAAATAAATACAATGAAAATCTCCATGATCCAAGGAAAAAGTGGCATGCTTGGAGAAAGAAGATTGATTAAGCTCTTGACAGCCTTTGGTTCTTGTTGGTAATATGAGATCGACATAAAGATTAAACAAATCATTGCAGCATTATTTTTCTTGATTCTTATTTATTTATTTATTGTTAGTTATGACAGGAATATCGAAGCACTTTCAGTTGAGACTAGTCCTGGTAGATGCATGCAAGTACCTGTAAACCACATGCATCTGGTAAGTCTGGGTAGAGTTGAATCATTACAACATACAAAAAGAAGATAATAAAGAGCACAACAAAATTCAAAATCAGCCATCATCACAATGTGCAAATGAAAACACAAACAACACAAATTTCTCTGTCTTTTTCTTCTAGTCATACTCAACCCAAATACAACACGTTCCTAGCGAACGTAATCACAACTCTTCTCAGTGTCCGTTTTTCAAATTAGCCTGGAGTTCCTACTCCATTTAAAATCTGAAAGCTCATTGCCATGAACACTACATCCGAACATCGGTGTTTCCCAACAGATGCATTGAGAATCAAAATTAAAATGACCCATCATCCTCTCCAAACCAATTGGCCAACTCCTGACCAGAAGCCTCTACGTATAAACAACCCACAATTTTAAAAGCTTAAATTGTTAGAAAAGGTAAAAACCAAGTAATTCATATACCCTGCCTTCTCATTAATTGCTAGACTCTCACCCGTGAGTGAATGAAACACGTGCATGCATTATAACTCTCAAGAAAGATAGTTATAATACATGTAACTTGAGTGTTCAATATACTAAAAAAATACAAAATGAATTTCAAAGTGATCTTGCTTTGAAACACCTTGCCAGTGGCACCCACCAGCCCAAGTAGACAGATTCCTTGTTCAATCCCCAATCCCCTTAAATTATACCTCATTTGCTTCAATCTGAGAGGGGAAGAATAAAGAACAAAGTCCCATTAAGGTTGAAGACCTTAAACCAGTTAAACCAATTAATTCTAGTTCACCCAACCTTTTAATTCTGTCACCATTAGAATAACAGAGTCAAACCCTTCCACTAGCTCCTCGCAAGAGTATTGATTGAAATTTACTCCAATATCATTTAACAATCTAATTTTCAGCAAGGATCCAAGATCCAACACAGATTTATAAGAAAAATGAACCCTCAATCGCATTTATGGACCTCCAAAAACACTTCAACCAACTCTGGCAATCCACAGTTAGGGTTTTCTTTATAATATGCACAAAACACGACTCCTATTTGATCTTTCTTCAACAGCATTATACCATTCCTAGCAATCGATAAACTAGTTAACTGAAGCAAAATTCTTGGACGAAGATTTCTTGCAATTTCCACATCGACATATGATATGCTTGACAATATATGGGTGCTCATATTCGGGCTCTTAAGCATGAGAACATATTCGAATAATGAAAGCAGAAACTTTGTGCAAAAAATACCAAAGTTAGGTCTGTACCCAATCTGCTCCTCACAGCACTCTTGATTAACAGGGACCACACCAGGTAATGACTTCTTTTAATAGATCAAATTTACTATATTGTTTCTAAAATCGTCATTTGTAAGAAAATATTCGCTGTTATGGATTGCAGCTCGAATAGACTAAATACAATGAGAGTACTATTTAAGGAAGTTCAAACATGTCATTCAACATATATGACTATATGTGAAACGGACTTTTACCCCCTTCTTTAATAATTCATATAACTTTCCTGATTTTGTTGATTAATTATGATTCATTATACATCTCATATAACAGAAATGATTAAGACATATTCAAGTTGTAGCTTACATGTAAGCTATTTGTTGTGGTTACTAAATCAACTCGCTTGCAACTTAACGATGAGCAATAGCGTTACAGTAAATGGACATAGTACCACAAGTTACCTGTGATACAAGTAGAAGAAAGAGAGAGAATTTTCCAGATAAGAGCATTCTGTTGTGGTCTTCATATGCAGTTCGTTCAGACTCCAGCCAGCTTGGGCATTACGCTTTTTAGCTGTTTTATCTACTTTACAGACACAACCAATCTGGAGGATAGCATTGAACTCTAATGGCACCTTTGTTTCATATATCCCCTGATCAAAGAATTCCAGCAGAGTCACATTGAAATTTTTATAATCAAACTAAGATGTCACAAAGAAATTTTATTAGGTAAACATTGTGCTACAAATGACTAGATTAAGAAGTACAAATAATCTCACCCACAGAACGCAAAACTTCATTGGAAATGTATCTTCTTTCATATAAAAAAATAAAAACAAATTGGTATACTTATAAAAAGAATTAAAGATCTTAGGCCTAGTTTGGTACGCAGGAATGGAATGGAATGCCCATTCCAATCATTCTTTTGTTTGGTATGCCATTTAAAGTGGGAATGGCCATTCCCTTAGAATGAAAATCAATTCCACGTCTAAACCGATAAAATGGTCATTCCATTCCCAAGTAAACTTTAAAAAATCAAATTTATAAAAAAAACATCACCACCACTACCTTCTGCCACCGCCACTGCCGCCACCGTCTTCCATTGCCTTCCACCACCACTACCACCTTCCACCACTTCCACGGCCGTTGCCTTCCACCACCACCACCACTTAGAATGGTGATTATCTTTTCATTCCTACATTTCATATTTGCAACCAAACAATAGAATGATACCATTCCATTCCTAGCTTCATTCCTGCGTACCAAACTACGCCTTTTAAGTTAATTGTTCAAGTATACTTCATCTTCTTTTTTTTTAAAACTTAAAGGGATCATATTTAATCACAATAATAAGCATATGAAGGACATGAAAGCACTGAAGTAATACTATTTTATATAAAGGAAATGATCATGAAATTTCACTACCACATACAACTTTACAACTGAATTTAAATAAAGAATGATCTTATTCAAAGTAATGTGGTATGAACCTGTTCTATAGTGGAACTGGAACAAACATCTACAATAAATACCAGGGAGAAAGAATTTCATGGCATATAATTACTTCTGATCTGGGAAAAGACATAAATGGTAGATATCACTCAAGGCCTGAAACTATTGAAAGCCTTCACTATCATGCAAAAGGATAAAGATGAGGAATTTGTTGCATTTAAAAATTAATATGTCCAGCAACCTCATATGTTCTAGACAAGATTAAAAAACGAGTGACATGCATCCTCCTTTGCAATAATAAATGTACTCAGAGTTGAGTATGCTGACCTCCACTTCTGGATCTGCAAGGTGAGCTGCAAGTTTCTTGCTCTCTGAAATAAATTGATCTTCATCAATCGTGACCTATTAAAATGCATGCAAATATAAAGAAGATTAGGCCTCAGAAATCTATTTATCTGGACAATCATTTCTACAAGGCTACAAATGCAAGTGTGATATCAAAGGTGCACCTCAATTAGATTATAGCCACAGCGTCCATGTGGAAGAACCTTGTTGACACGCCTTCCAGGAAATTCTTCTGTTATAGGAGCTCTCGAGTTAAGATAAAACACTCTTGGAACAATTATTGGAATTTTATGCATGACTCCTTCGACAATAATCCAAGCAAAAAATTGGCCATTGTGTGAATTTGATACAAGCTGAATTATCTGCAAGAGTGATTAGATTAAGCACTAATAAAAGAAACTACTCCAGCTTAGTTCTCGTAAATGAATAAGCACTACATCACCTGCCAAGGACATCGCGTAAAGGCTAGTTCATGCCTCTCAAAATATGAGCTGACACCAGTTCTGCCCTGAGCTTGTTTATGATTTTTCACACTACCAGGCATCTCAGCAGTACCATTGGTTGGGTTTAAAGTCTTTGAGTTTCCCAACCTGCCAACGTCAGTTATGCCAAAGAAGTAAACTACCAACATCACTTCGCAAATGTAAATTATACTTGAATGCATGTGCACAGAAACCACATACAACAGTTCTACAATAATAGTACAAGAGACTAGGGGTCCAGTCACTTTTGGATTAGAAAAGATGACGTCAAACCACACAACTAAGGTCATAAGTTCAGCGAGAATTTCAGACATTTCAAAAAAAAAAAACTATTCTCCTTTTGTCGGCAGACTCAAGGTCACAGAAAGTTTTTATACCATTTCTGGAGCTGCGGATCCCCCCTAGAGGCCCTTCCAGCTTAGCAATAGGATTGATACCAGAGAGAAGTCCCAGATGGAGAGAAAATATATAACCTTGCAGTAACTATTGGGTAAATTCGCTTACCTCTCATAGGAATGAATGCTACATTCTATGTTGCTTCAAGCCTCCAACAATATCATAAAATTCAAGGTAAACCTCAATTAAAGGAACTAAGCAACATGCTTTTTTCTAAACTATATTTTGTACCAAGCAGGTATTTGTATGTAGGTGTCAAAGAAAGAATTACCTTTGCCGTTTCCTTTTCTCACGAGTATCTTTCCACTTTCTCTTCTTTATTTCAAGCCATCCTTGATAATCTACATTTCTGTCAATATTTGCGGCAGAAATACCATTTTGTTGCAATTCTGATGGGACATTCTCACTTTCTACACAATCCCTTTGTTGTTGTGGAGAGTTTACTTGACAGTTTGTCTGAACTGAACGTCGTTTGTCATTGACTTCATAACAACGAACAATAGGTCTAGGTCCAAAAACAGTTCTGTCTTTCTTTCTGAAGTCTTCCAAATCTTCAACACTCTTTCCGGATATTATGCAATCGGTGGTATTAGCATCAATACTCATCTTTCCCGCATCACCCCTATTCAGTGAGCTGAAGATATCAACCAATTTACGCTGTCGAAATTTGTCCTCCTTCTCACGAACCTTCTTATGCAACCAATCAGGATGAACTACCCTAGGCACAGGATTCGAAACCTGAAGAAATTCAACTAATTAATACAAGTCAAAACTGATAAATTACTTCAGCAAATAATGATGAACAAGTATCTGCACCTTCTGCATTGCAGCAGGAATAGTGACAATCTTTTGAATTGCTGAACTAAGCCGTTGCCTATAATAGGACCAATCAATAATGGATCGAATGCCAACATCTGATGAAATCTTGCACCACTTCCTTACATAAAACTTCATAATTTCTGCAAAACACGTTTATGTGGACTTCTCTCCTTCGTATATAAACAATAAAAGAATATAATCTAGGTAAAGTAGAGCAGAACTTTACCGGCATCGGTTTCAAAAATTGCAACTGGAAGAGCACGTTCACTTACTGGTGTTCCCTGCTCATATTAAAATTATAACAACCTTGATATTGAGGTATCAGGAAATAAATAAATAAATAAATACAGACGGAAAAAATGGCAAAAGTTTATGAGAACAATAATATATGAATTCACAACAAGACGATGACAAAAGCACACCAACATATATATATCAATGAGAGACCATTCGCAAGGTTAAGCAGTATCCCAAAGACAATAGCTCCACTAAATTTCAGTGCACCACTGACACTTGCACAATTAGGCCATCTTCAAGCAGCAATATAACAAGGCAAAAGTAGGATTGTTTGGAAAATCAAAATTTTAGGGCACAAATAACTTCTGGGAATTATAAATTCAAAATCAATTGTTCTATCATCAGTACATGATTCACCTTCATATGATCTTTTTACTCATAGACTAGTTGCGTTTGTTTGTTTTGAAGTAGTACTGGTCTTTGACATTTAAAACTATTGCCTTTAAAACTGAATATCTTGAAACATGTAGTGATGGAACATGTCCTGACAATATAATTGACAAGCGTTCAATTCTTCTGGTAATTTAGTATATATATAATTAAAGGCTGTATCTGCAATAACTTGCAAGTGTAAAAAGAGAGCACCATCAAAGAAAATACAGCCATGAGTCCAAATGAATGGATATTGATTTTCCTAAAATATAACAGCCAGGAATATCAAGAATCTCTCTACGCTGCAGCTAAATCCAATATCTTCACCTGGTACTGGTAGACTTTACAGAAATCAAGCAGATATTTCTATACTTCACTCAATGTTGTAATTAATCATACAACCACGAGGGGTAGGCTCAAGGGGTTCTAAAGTATATACAAACAGAAAGCAGATGACAAGGGGTTCTCAATTTGAGGACAATTCTATAGCATTAGTTTAACCAAATACTTGACAAGGGGTTTTTAAATTTGGAATGCTAGATGACTGACTTATCGCATCAGCCAAAAAAAATCTACAGAGATGGAAAGAAGAATGGAACTGGCCAACTGGAAGAGGGATGCAGGTTCTTTAATGTTGTTGACAATAAATAGTATTATGAGACATATCAAACACAACAATGAGGGGCCCAGAGATTAATTGGGAAGAGAAGAGGCAAACACACCCAAGGGAATTATGGAGAAAGAAGAAAATTTATTGTGCCATGCCAAGAATAAATGCTCTAGGAGGGGCGTTACTTATAGTGTTCGAGGACCCAGTCATTCCCAGTTATCTAAGCCTTCACAAGGTAGTGTCCAAGGGCCAATAGGTCAGACCATCATTGCATCAGCCACCCTCTCACAAGACTATTTAATCAATCATTATTCTTTTGTCAAAAAATTTAGCAGCCATTAAATGACAATGGCTGTGTATTAATTGGCAGAGGTCAAGCATTAAATGTAATCAGCATTGATTATGACTTTTCCTGACATGGTACAAGATTGCCCATGTAAAGACCCGAACCCAGGGGTCCGAATCATTAAGCGGTTCCTGCATGCTGGGCCCGGGTTCAGGTCGTTATAGCCCATCCCTTGGGCCAGCCTCAGCACTCAACTGTCTGGATGACTCTCGCTTCTCATCCTCTAATCAAAGATCCTTCTAAGTGTCCAAATAATGCTAAAAGGACGTAGTCAATCGTGTCTGTCCGTTTTTGTCCTTCATGGCGAGTGGTCCTCGAGGGGTCTCGATCAAAGTCCTCTTAAGTCTTGTGTGACCTAAGAGAGCGTCCTAGGGCCTAGGGCTCGAGGAGTGCACCTCAAGATTTCACTGGGCCTGAGAGGGTGTCTCAGGGTTTTTGAGTGACCTGTAATTATGTCCAGGTTTCAGGCTCAAGGGGGTGTTCCTCAAGGTATTGATGGACCTGAGAGGGTGTCCAAGGTTTTAAGTGACCTGAGAGAGTGTCACAGAGTTTCAAACTCAAAGGATGTCCATCAAGATTTTATAGACCTAAGAGAGAGAATGTCTCAGGGTTTTGAACGATCTGGAAGAGTGTTCCAAAGTTTTGGACTCAAGGATGCCACTTGAGGTTTTATGGATCTAAGTGAATGTATCAAGGTTTTGAAAGACTTGGAAATGTGTCACATGGTTTTGCACTCGAGGAATGCCCCTCGAGGTTTTATGGACCTAAGAGACTGTCACTGAGTTTAGAGTGGCCTCAGAGAATGTCCCAAAGTTGTGGACCTCAAGGGGTGCTCCTCGAGGTTTTATGGGCATAAGAGGAAATCTGAGGTTTTTGAGTGACCTCGGAGAGTGTCCCAGGGTTTTGGAATTGAGGGATGTCGCTCAAAATTTTATGGACCCAAGAGAACGTCCCAGGGTTTTAAGTGACCTGAGGTAATGTCTCAGGGGTCAGGGCTTTGGATGCAAGGGGTGCCCTTCAAGGTTTTGATGGAGCTGACGTGTTTTGCGTTTTGCTATTGGCCTGATGTGGCAGCCGCTGTTTTGACATGCGGAGTATGCCATGTAGGCAATAGTGCATGACACCCACATATCAAGTAGCAAAGAGTGAGTGAGACCCAACTGAGGGTTTAAACATTAAATTAATAAAATCTAGGAAGAGGATTGGACAACGAGTCCAACTGATTGATGAGAAGGATCTTGATTCTTATGGCAAAAGGTGCCACGATACTGACTACAAGGATAAAAATGATACTGCTTTTAATCTGCTCAATGGAGCTTTTATTCTACACAATGCCATGTGTTTGATCTCAATAGTGCAAGTACATCAGTGAAATAAAGTGAATGGATCTGTGGATGGCAATGCGGCCTCACAATGTCAAGGTTAAAACCAAGAATCCATCCAAGTTAAATCATGATGAATATATTCTACTAACTGAGGATTGACAGAATTGCTGCAAATTATTAGCAGTGATTATGGCTTTAGTTATCAATAGCCTGTCATTACGGCCAAGGATACAATACCTATAACATACAATGAATGTGGTATAGAATGGAAACTGAGGATCATGTTCTGCAGCCACATAAGATCGGTTTATATATTCACTGCCAAGTAACACAACCAAGCACAAGGGCTAATATGAAGTTCACCACTGCAGTTATAAAGATTCAGCTTCATACTGCAACTATGACTGGCAGGTGCACAACACATCTTATATAATCCCAATAATTTAAATGTGCACACGCCTAATCACACTACTGATTTTTTTAGTCTTATATTTTTTTATTTAAATACATTTCTTTTTTGTATAAGATTTTCATGTATATCTTTGACTGTGCACTTCATTTCAGAGTGAAGACAGCCTTAATAAGATATATAATTCACCATAACCATAAAATGTAAATTCATATAATGAGAGCAAAAAAACACAAAAAAGGAAACATGATGTATTGGTTTCCTAAGTTGAAAAGCAACGGATACCTTTGGTTCACATGCAACTATATACTGGCAACGCAATCCTTTGTCTTTAACCATTGTATCACCAAGAAAATCAGCAAGGCGTCTTGCAGTGGTTACTGCACATGACTTTTGTTCACCATAGTCAGCTAAGGATTTGCTCATTGTGCTTGATTCTGATATGTAATCAAGCAGCTCACTGTCCGCAATATCCTTCCCTTGATTCTAAACAAAAGAATAAAATTCATTAAATCCATTCCCTTTTTTGAGTCGACTCAGTTACCCAACCATTAAAAAATAATAAAATAAAGAAAAGAAGAATTAACGAAGTTGTCAAAAAAATCTTGTGAATCAACACTTTGAACAAAATAAATAAACCATAGATGGCGAAATTTCTTTACATACATCAAGAAGATCAAGCCAGCGGTTTGCAACAGAAGCAACTGCTGAATAACATTCTTCCAAGGTTGACCCATGGAGGAATTTGTCAAAAAGCTCAGCCTGCATAGAAATAAAGTATTTCAAGTTTGAAATACACCAACCTAAACATAGATTTGTGTATCTGCACAAACAAAATTCTACTGAAGGCAAGATAGTGACATGTACAAAGAAAATGACAGCATCATGTTCCAACTAAGTGTGGGAACACACTTCCAGAAAGTAACAAACAACTCAATTCAAAAATATGTTCTGAGCACATTAACCTTTCTCCATTCCTTTACCAACTCATTCATACGGCCTCCATAACCTAGGTAAGATGAATTTGGACCCCCATCATCCGTTACACAAGATTCATTTCATGCACTCATATTTAATTTTAACGCTTCTACCATCTTTTAGAGTTCTTTTAATGGTGGAATATTAACAAGATGACATAAATAGGTAGCAGTTTTGCACACGGATAATCTTTTTTGAAATTGAAGATGACCATTTAATAGCAACTTGTTAGAGGTTCCACTGTCATATCTCTCTGAGGGAGAGTGCAAAAAAATCAAATACCCATCATCCGTTACACAAGATTCATTTCATGCACTCATATTTAATTTTGACGCTTATACCATCTTTTAGAGTTCTTTTAATGGTGGAATATTAACAAGATGACATAAATAGGTAGCAGTTTTGTACACAGATACTCTTTTTTGAAATTGAAGATGACCATTTAATAGCAAATTGTTGGAAGTTCCACTGTCATATCTCTCTGAGGGAGAGTGCAAAAAAATCAAAGCCCATGTTTTATATCTGAATGTTCACTAGACACACGTCAGCAAAATATGTGATGGGAATTTTCTGCTGTCGAGAATGTGACAGGCAATTTCTAGCGGTAAGAAGTTTAAGAACACAATGGGCAAGTTGCAGCACACTTGGCTTTTATACGATATAAAGTATTTTACAGTCTATCCGTACATAATGTGTCAACATTCACGGACACATGTGCAAGAAACATCTCATCAAGGTCATGGTTGGTTTTTAGATTTTTTTTTTTTTCTTTTTTTGATAAGTAAAGATTGTATAAAGAAGCGTTCAAAAGGGGAACGCATCCCTTAGAAAATACACAAGGCCTAATAGGGCCTCTAAACTCTCAGAGAGTCCAAAAAATCAACTATCTCCTCCATGAATTTACAATATCTCCCTATAAGAGTCTCCTTTCCTTCGAAGGACCTCTTATTTCTTTCAAGCCATAAACACCACCAAATGCAAAGAGGCATAACCCTCCAAAAATCACGGATTTGGGCCCCCACTATACAACCTCGCCAGGCCTCAATCAAATTTCTGGGGGATCTAGGCATAACCCACTGAACCCCAAACAAACTCAACAGTAAGACCCAGCAATCCCAAACCACGGGGCAATGCAGAAGAAGGTGATCAACCGTTTCCCCATCTCTCTTATGCATGTAACACCAATTGACCACTACCTGTATTATCCTTCTTAAGTTGTCCTGGGTTAAGATCTTCCTTAACACCGAAGTCCACGCAAAAAAAGCCACTTTGAAAGGGGCCTTGGATCTCCAAATTGCCTTCCATGGGAAAAACTCTCCATCGGCTTCCGTAATGCACCTATAGAAAGACTGAACACCAAAATAACCCTGGGAAGAAGGAACCCACACCCATGAGTCAGAAACATCGCCCGTAAACTCCTGTATGTACACCATTTCCAAAAGACCGATAGCATCCTCGATCTCCCAATCCTAAAAGGGTCTCAAGAAACGAATGTCCCAAACAATTATCCCACTATCAAGACAATAGCAATCAATAACAAAAGCATGTCTGTCCACAGCAATCCTAACAAGCCTAGGAAAAGTGATGGCCAGAGAATGATCACCACACCAAATATCCTCCCAGTTGAAATATCTGTATTATTATTATTTTTATTTTTATTAGTTATTTTCAGCTTTTTATTAGGTGTTTTATGTAAGATCCCTATTATTATGGGATCACGTAGATAAGATCCCCGTAATTATGGGATCACGTAAATAAGATCCCCATAATCATGGGGTCACGTAGATTTTGGCATATTTCTTGTTTTTCTTTGATTTGGTTTCCTTTCTTTGTACCCTATTCTTGTATATAAATATAGCTCTTGGCTCTCGGTTTGAGAATGCCAAAACCCAAAACTTATTCTTTTTGGTATCAGAGCAAAACAAAAACCTTCGCCTCCCCCATCTTCCTCCCCAACGTCGTCACCTCCTCTCTCCCTCTCTCACCTCCGGCACACCTCCATCTCCTCCCAGCCCTTGCGCCGAACCCCTCAGGCAACCCTCTGTTTTTTACTCCTTTTTTAAGAGAATTCCCTTAGGTTTTTTATGACCTAAGATCCTTCTGGTGTTTTTTTTAATTTTATGGGCTGTCGGCGTTTGTTCGGCAGTGTATTTGGAGGAAAGCGCTGATTTTTCCGGCCTTGTTTTTTACTCTTTCCTTCTGCTTTGACGTGTGGACTAGCCTTATTTTGGTACTATTACTGATTCTAGTAGCCAAAAGGGCACTTTATCCTCGATCCAGCATACTTTATCTTCGGCATATCATACTCCGGCACAGTGGGTTACTAGTGTGCTCTTGAATGGGCGCAACTTCGTATCTTGGACCCATTCTCTTCAACTCTATATTTAGGGGAAAAGGGAAAACTGGTTGGCTTTTGGGTTTAGTCAAGGAACTGGAAAAGACGGATACTAATTATATTGCATAGGACATGGACAGGTGCACCATTCTGGGTTGGATCTTTAACTCAATGGAGGAGCGTATCTATAATACGTTTATGTTTCGCACTTTCGTTTTTCGTCTGTGGCAAGCCCTTAACAAGATGTATGCCCATTCCCGCAATGACGTTTGTATCTTTGAACTCTATCAAGAGATTGCTCATGCATCTCAGGAGACACTCAAGCTGTCAGTATCAGAGTATTTTGGGTACCTCCAGTCTAGGTGGGAAGAATTAGCACAGTATGAACCTCTCTCCGATTTCTCTGAAGAAACTACAACTCTTTTGGTCAAGAGACTGGACCGCCAGCATACCTACTATTTTTTTTATGGGTTTACGATGTGAGTATGATGCCTAATTTATATGATGCCTTCGCTACTGCTGACCATGAGGAGCATAGACGTCAGATCTCTCAACCAATAGCTTTACCAGAGAATCCAATTGATCAGATGGCTCTTGCTGCTAATTCTAGACTTTCAGAGGGAAAGGTTATTTGTCAACATTGTGTTGCCATGGGTCATGTAAAGGATCATTGCTTTAAGCTTCATCCCGAGCTAAAGCAGAAATTCTCTCGCAATCGTCCTTCTGGCCTTGGCCTTACTGCCGCAGTAGCCGATACTATTGGTGGGTATGCTACTCTACAGATTGTTGTCCCTCCTGCTTCAACTCCTCTCAGACCATCTTTTCAAGACTTCAATCAGTTACAGTCCTAGATTGGTCAGCTTCATGAGCAGTTTGGAGCTTTATCTACCAGGGTCAGCTCTTCTATTCCCACGACTACTATAGCTACAGGTACTCCTTCTGCTTTTCATGTTAAAGCGAGAAAACCTATTTGGGTTCAAGATTCTGGAGCCAATGATCACGTGACTGGTAAGTTGTCATTATTTTATATTCCCGTTACCCCTATTAAAAAGGCGGTTAGTCTAGTCAACGGGTCAACCACCATTATTCATAGTAAAGGAGATGTTCATCTATTCCCTGATATTATTTTGCCATATGTTCTTCATGTTCCTAACTTTGCATTTAATCTTCTATCTGTTAGCAAACTTACCAAATCACTAAACTGTGCAGTGATTTTCTTTCCTCATTACTGTGTTTTACAAGACCTGTGTTCGAAGAGGATTTTTGGCAGAGGATATGAGCACGATGGCCTCTACTACTTTAGGGATCCTCCACCGACACCTCCTCCACTTGCTTCAAGCCTCTGTTCTTCCAGTTTCTAGATCTTATGATTTTCTTTTCAGACTTAAAATTTATGGCATGCTTGCCTTGAGCATGTAAACTTTCAGTATTTATGTCTGTTTTTCCCTTCATTAATACCGGCTTGTAAGGATAATAAGTTTCAATGTGAGATTTGTGAGCTTTCTAAACATACTAGAACTAGTTATATTTCTCATATGCATTGTGCACCTAGTATGTTTGATCTCATACATTCTGATGTATGGACTGTGGGGTCCTTCTCCTGTTACTGCTTTTTCGGGACATCGTTATTATGTCACATTCATTGATGATTATTCCCGCTACACATGGGTATATTTACTTAAAAAGAAATCTGAAGTTTTTCCCTTGTTCACTCAATTCCTCCAATGATCAAAACTCAATATAAAACTGTTGTTAGGAATATTAGGTCTGACAATGGTCGTGAATATGTTTCCAATGAGTTTCAGTCTCAACTTAACCAACAGGGTATTTTTCATCAACTTACTTGTCTATATACCCCTAAACAGAATGGTGTGGCAGAGCGTAAAAACCGCCAACAAATGTCAGTTGTTCAATGTCTTTTAAATGGTATGAATGTGCCAAAGTCATACTGGCACATGGCGGTTCTTACAGATACTTTTCTCATTAATCGTACCCCTAGTAGAGTATTAAACGGTAAGGCCCCCTTACAAGTGCTTTAGCCTGATATTACTTTTTCCATCATGCTTTAAGTGTTTGGATATACATGTTTTGTTCACAAAATCGTAGCCCTTCTTGTACTAAACTTGATGACAAAGCCATTAAATGTATCTTTGTAGGATACTCTTCAATGTCAAAAGGTAACCGATGTTATGATCCTGTACACAAACACATATATCTTATGATGTCACATTTCATGAGCATACCCCTTTTTATGGTTCTAACACTATCTTGCAAGAAACTTCTACTCCCGATCAAGAGGTTTCTCCTCTTGCTCATCCTCTTTCTATTTTTCAAAAAGAGTTTTCTCTTGTGGTTTCCTCACCCCATTTACAGGTCTATTCTCTCCGCCCTCGTGCTCCACCTCCACTGCCTTCATCCTCCTTAGATACAGGTTCAGGTTCATCTCCTCTCTCTCCTTTACATTTCCCTGACCCTGTTCCTGAGTCTCGGTATCCCGCTCGGGACCGCAAACCCCTTGCTCGATTTGGATTTGCTTGTAGTAATGATCATCCTATTTCGCAGTATATCTCTTATGATGGTCTTTTAGGGTCTTATCGAACCTTTCTAGGCAAACTTGATTCCATTTCCATTCCCAAAAATGTCTCTGAGGCCCTCTAGAATCCCAATTAGATGTCTGCTATGATGGTAGAAATGGATGCTCTGCAGCAAAATGAAACATGGGAGCTTGTATCTCTCCCTCCTGATAAAAAGACTGTTGGTTGCAAACGGGTATTCAATGTTAAATATCTGGCCGATGGCTCTATTGATCGGTATAAGGCCCGTTTGGTGACCAAAGGGTTTACTCAGATTCCTAGTAAAGAATATAATGATACCTTCGCTCCAGTGGCTAAATTGACCTCAGTTCGTTTGCTTATCTCCTTGGCTGCCTCTCACAATTGGCTTCTTCATCAGCTTGATGTGAAGAATGCTTTCCTTAAAGGTGATCTTCTTGAGACTATTTATATGGATCTTCCACCCGGTTATCGGGCTGAGGGGGAGTATGCTGGAAAGGTCTATCGATTGCAAAAGTCTTTGTATGGGTTAAAACAATCTCCCAGAGCTTGGTTCAGCCGCTTCAGTGATGTAATTCTATGGATTTTGTTAGATGCCATTCTAACAATACATGTTTTATCCACCATTCCTCCACTGGTCGATGTATCATTCTTCTTGTCTATGTTGATGATATCATCATTACTGACAATGACATCCCTGGGATTGCTCAAGTAAAGCTTCAATTGGCTAAAGCTTTTGATGTGAAAGACCTTGGGCAGCTCAGACATTTCTTAGGAATTGAGGTTACAAGATCTAAGCAGGGTGTCTCTTTATCGCAAAGGAAGTATGTCTTGGATCTTCTTCGAGACACGGGTATGCTTGGGTGTAAACCTGCATCCACTCCTATAGATCCTAATATAAAGATCTCGGCTGACTCTGGAGATCTCCTTTCTGATCCCTCGCAGTATCAGCGCTTGGTAGGAAGATTGATTTATCTTACCAACACCTGTCCTGATTTGGCTTTTGCTGTTAGTGTTGTGAATCAGTTTATGCATGCTCCTCGTACAGCTCATATGGATGCGATATATCATATTCTTTAATATCTTAAGTCCTGTCCTGGATTTAGATTATTCTATTCTTCTAGCAAACAAGTTGGGTTATCCTGTTTCAGTGATGCAGATTATGTTGGGTCCAAGACTAACAGACGTTCCACATCTGGCTTCTGTACTTTCTATGGAGATCAACTTATATCCTGGAAAAGAAAGAAACAACCTGTAGTTTCGAGATCTTCAGCAGAGGTTGAGTATCGTGCCATGGCCCAGGGTACTCGTGAGATTCTCTGGCTTCGATCTTTCTGGAGGAACTAGGGCTAAGTGAAAAACAGTCCTCAGCCTTGTTTTGTGATAATAAGTAAGCCCTCATGCTTCGTGTGTTTGGATGTACATGTTTTATTCAGAATCGTAGCCCTTGTACTAAACTTGATGACAAGGCCATTAAATGTATCTTTTTAGGATACCCTTCAATGTCAAAAGGTTACCAGTGTTATGATCCTGTACACAAACACGTGTACAGGAGATTCTCTGGCTTTGATCTTTCTTGGAGGAACTAGGGCTAAATGAAAAACATTCCTACTTGTTTTGTGATAATAAGTCAGCCATCATGCTTGCTTCAGATTATGTTCTTCATGAGAGGACTAAACATATAGAGGTGAACATTCATTTTATCAGAGAGAAGGTTCGTTTGGGGATTATCAAGCCGTGCTTTGTTTGGTCCTCTAATCAATCGGCAAATGTGTTCACCAAATCCGTTGGTCCATCTTTTTCATTCCTCGATTACCAAGCTGGGCTTGATTGATATCTTCACTCCAGCTTGAGGGGTAGTGTTGAAATATCTGTATTATTATTATTATTATTATTATTATTATTAGCTATTTTCAGCCTTTTATTAGGTGTTTTATGTAAGATCTCAATTATCATGGGATCACGTAGATAAGATCTCCGTAATTATGGGATTACGTAGATAAGATCTCCGTAATCATGGGATCACGTATATTTTGGCATATTTCCTATTTTTCTTTGATTTGGTTTCCTTTCTTTGTACCCTATTCCTGTATATAAATATAGCTCTTGGCTCTCGGTTTGAGAACGCCAACCAAAACTTCTTCTTTTCTCCCAAAAGCGGATCCTCCTCCCATACCCATATTGTTTTTAGATTTTGAAAGTTCTATATGTCCATGAAGTATGTTAATTGTTGATGATATCGTTTATTTGATGAAACTAGAGAAGAGGCAAGTGCTAAATTAGAGGTTTGGGGAGAAGCTCCAAAACTAAAAAGATTTAAGTAGAGTAGGAATAAAAATGAATATATGGAATGTAGTTTTAGTAAATTTAGAAATACAAATAGGGATGCAGTGAAAATTGGGGACCAAAAGATACCAAAAAATGAACATTTCCGCTATTTAGGCTCAATTATTCACAATGAAGGAAAATTTGAAGATGATGTTTTTTTTTTTGATAAGTAAAGATGATGTTGATCGTACAATCAAGACAGGATTGGTAAAATGGAGGAGTGTATCTAGTATATTCAATGACTTAAGATTGAAATGTATATTGCTTCAGATTGAAACGCAAGTGTTGTAAGGCAACTATTAGACAAGCCAAGCTTTATGGACAGAATGGTGAGCAGTAAAGAAACATATGCGTATTGCAGAAATGCAAATGTTGAGATGAATGCGTGACAAGACTAGAATTGATAGAATTAGAAATGAAGACATCTGTCAGATGGTTGAACTAGCACACATTGGAGAAATGTCTATATATATGTATAGAGAGAGAGAGATTATATGGTTTGAGCATGTGCAGAGAAGAACGCTAAGTGCATCAGTTACAATGAGTGGTGTGGTCCACATTGAAGGTAACACAGCTAATGCTATGGGAAGCGGAGCCTAGAATTAACATGATAAAATTAGTAAGGAAAGATATGGTAACGTGTTCTCGACCTGAATCCGGAACCAGAAGTAGTGGTTGTTGTAATATGGCTGCAATAGGATTCATGTAACGGACCCAAAGTAGGTGGGAAAAGGCTTTGTTGAGTTAAGTTTCAAGTTCCATCCGTCAGAGACCACATATCAGTGCATAAATCAGCGCTCATGTCTGTGTTCTCATTACACCGTATCTGAATTTTCATTCTGAGAACAACACAGAAGAATTGCAGTTGGTGAATTATAAAAGACCAGAACCCTCAACATCAAAGAAATCACAGCAGATTTTTATTTTATTTTATTGGTGGGGTGGGGTGTTACAAAATAATGTAACTACATTATTAAGATCGCAAAGTATAGTTGAGTTGGCATAAGGTCTTTGGGTATGTGCTAGAAGTCCTGTGTTCAACTCCTGGAGGCGTCAAGCCTCCTCCCTGGGCTTAACCAATACCAAGATTTGGGGATGATTGCGGCTATCCAAAGGGAGTAGTCCAAGCCCCAAAAGGGGTGGGGAAACCTTCGTTACCCAAAAACAAAAAATGTTCAGAGTTTAAAATTTTAAGGCAGGAAAGTGAACTATTAAACCAGGAACTGCGCAAAGCCAAAACTGACCTTAACTGAACCACATTTCTAGTATATGGTAGAAGTTAGAATTGACTTTACAGGGCATTACTTAGAACGGTGTTTACTAGAAGCAAGGGATGTCAAAATTGGTCATTCATAACTAATGAAAAGAAGATGGCGAACAAGCAAAAGTTATTAGTGTGTATCGCAGATTATCAGACACATCTATATTTTACAGGATAAGTAAAATGAACAACTGAATGGATTTCAAGTCACATTTAAGTAACAAAACCACACAGAACCCATACATATTAATATATAGCAGTGAATGAAAAAACAATATGCACATTTCATTAGTAGGAAAAATTTAAGTTAGATATTTTACAAGCAAAAGAGGATACCTGGAATACTTTGATGAGTTTCAGCTCACCTCTGCGCTTGATCTCAAAACCTTTAAGCTCTGCAAGGGTTCCATCATCGTTAAAAACAGCATATCGCTTCTTAATTAGAATTCCTTCTTCCTTAGAAGCTGGAAGAATCATTGCCTACATACCATAAATAATGCCCAAACAATCAATGTGAATATCATGACAAAGGAAACAAAAAGCGAAATATTCAGTAAATAAATGTGAACATTTTTTAGGGTTCATCCATTTCACCTTATACGGTCCATCCACTTCAAATTCAATTGAGCATTCACTGTGTGTCGTATATATTTTTTTGATGGGATCTTTGAGCGTCTGTTTAAAATATTAGTTAGAAACAGTGCTTTCTGCAAAATGTAAATGTACAAGTAAAGCAGCAAGAGCATTTCTGACAATATATCAGAAAGTGAGAAAATAAAAATAAAAAATAAAAAAACAGAGAAAAGAAAGAAAAAAAATCCATCTAACCTGGTACTGATCATTTGTATTGTTCCTTGCCACATCAACATTAAGCATAACACAAGGATATGAAATTGTCAGCTTCTTCTTTAAATCCCTGAAATATGTGATCCATAAAATGTCATTAGTGTCATGATCAATACCATGCAAAATCAGGTGAAAACTATTTTTCCTTTATGAACCAAAGTGAATAGTTGAGCAATGCATCAGAAACATACTAATATTACTGTGCATAAATAACACAAATGCCCATAGATACAATAAGGATATGTCATTCATAGGATACAGAAATAATCATGTGAATCTTGAAGAGCAAAAGCATACTTTGTTTTAAAGGTGAAGTTCTCTGGGAATGATCCAGGTAATGCACACCAGATACCATCTGTATCTAATTCAAGAGGTTTTCCAATTTTTTCTACCAGTAAACGCGCATTCTGAATAATTTTTGCACCGGTATACGTGACAACTCCAGCCATTTCCATTGAGTACCATCTTGCACCCCTGGACCATATAAAAGCATAAAGCGGAAGATAACAAGAGCGGAAAGGGCCTTACAGTAAAATTCAAAACCAAAAACATGTTCTTAATCACAAAAAATATTGAAATCACATAAACTCACTTGCGCATGACATATCCATAGAAAGAGTTCAGAATACACTTATGAGCCAGTTGTAATGAATCATAAAGAACTACCATATCCTGCAAAAATTAATGAACAAAGCCAGAGACTATCAGTTACATAACAAGCTGCTAAAATTGTAAATGATCAGGGGGCAAGAAAAAAAATGAAGCATTTATAGTAATCATACTTGTGCTTCTTGGATCTTAATAGAATTTCCACTAGCCTTTGCTTCTGACAACTTCCCCTTCCAAACCTTATTAAGTCCTTTGTACTCATACCTTCGATCTCGAAAGCTTAAACCAGAACGGAAGAAAGTACCATTTGAAATAAGACAACCAAATCCGTCAAAACCTTTTCTCAGGTAATCAGTAACAAAAACCTACAGGTTTCCTATCTAGGTAACAAGAAACCTGAAAAAATAGATAAATTTGTTTGCTCATACAAGGATGATGATGATATAACAAAATCTCTACTGCTTACCTCCGGACAGTGTCCACATAAAACGGATTTTCCCGCATGCAGATCCCTGCTTCTCGAAGCTCGGTAACTGGCTTATTCAATACCCGTTTATATGCCTATGGAAAAACAATAATCATAGAATGCAAGGTGTTACTTTGCAAACAATTATATTAGAGATGGCAATGAAATACCTTTTGGCAGTATTTCTTTAGACGCTCTTTGAGCTTCAATTGTTGCTCCACTTTAGGCAGGTCAAGAAAAGATTTTGACAACTGGCCATCTACTTTATCAACAAACTCAGACTCAATTTGCCTCTTCAAATGATAGTAGTCACTGACACAAATTAATGCCCATAAACAACTATCAGTGGCCTCACATGGAATTCCCCAAGGCCTAAGAACAACAGAAGAAAATGAAAGAAACCTTTTCTTTGCCATGTATGTCTCGCCACGCCAGACCCATTCAAGCTTACGAAGGCAAGTTTTGCCCGGACGGTTGAAATCACATGCAGTGCAAATCTCATCTGAAACTATTGATGGAGGCTGGAATTGGACAAAAGAAAACTCAGTATACACTAATTGCAAAGATATTTCTTAAATGAAGACTAATCGGAGCCTCTAACAGAATATATAAGTTAAACCATGCTAATTATACTTAACTAAACTATTGCCAGAGAAATCAGAAAGAAGAATGCATAAATAGTGTGAAATATCTATCAAATAGGAGAATCATAAAAATAAAATAAGGAAACAACAATCAAAAGCTGTGTGTATGCATTACAATACTACCCCGTAAAAATTGAAAATGGTTGACTAAATCCTAGCTCAAAAAATGACAAGCAAATGAACCCTCTTGGCCTCTCCTTGTCAAATAACAAGTTCAATAGATGATAAAAGTAAATTGAAAGATGTGAATTAATTTATCTGCTCCTGAATACCCTTCAATTCCGCTCGTTCCAGACGCTTAAACAAATAACTAGGGGCCATTTTCCAAATAATATTGTTGCCGCTTCTTTGACCCTGAACCACCATAATGCAACACTCGGAAGAAAAAGGCAAGGTTCCAAGCTCCGCAGCTTAGCCATGAAGAAGAAGGTGGTTCACAGTTTCCTCCTCTTTGCACATGCAGCAACTATTATGAATTAACCACTACCTCACTCAGGGAATCAAATTATCTAACATTCAACATGTGTAAAAAATAGTCCACACCATGACTGTCAGCTTAGAAGGAGAACACTTTTCCCAAAAAAAAAAAAAAAACCACCACCGACTTCCTTGGATATTGAAGGAAGATTTTACAGATAAGAACCCAACTGATACAACTCCAAAACTCTTCCAAATTATCATATCATCACCCTCCCTATAAATATTTGCATTAAACAAACCATAAAAGAATGATATAAGTGACATGACCTCACTTTTCTGGTAAGTCACACAACCTCGCATAGTTTTTTCTAAATCACCTTTTCTTCTCTTGAGGATCCAGTCTTAAAAAAACCAACGTTCTACCACCTGCATTCTGGAAAGAGACCTTTTGCCGTTCTCAGAAAAGTAAAAAGTGGGAGAGATGTTTAGAAATATATCATGTCCTATTCTTTGATCTATACAAAAAGGCTTGATATCAATCCCACTCATAAATTCCAAATGAAGAGTCTAGAAACCTGGCTATCTTTTTATACACCATAATAAATACATCTTCCCAACATTTTCATTATGCGTGACTCTTAAACTAAAGATAATTCTAGACAAGTTTTTTTAAACTTAACGTCCTCTACAGTTCTTCCAGATGACAATTTCCAGATTTTAGAAGTAACATGAAAATAAATGCTCTTATTAACAAGAAAGACTCCTGCGTAAATGTATCAAAAGAAGTATGACCATATAATTTTAAAACGTTAACCAAGACTTGATCGAAAGTACTTTCCATCATCTGGGTGGCCTCAGATCCACATGGTTTTACTTAATTTGTGGTCATGGTCCAAAAGCAAGCTTAAACAATAGGAGTACAACCTATTGCACATTATGCAAGCTCATAGTCCCATTCAATTATGATTAAATCATGTTGCCTTATCAAGTACTTCACACCCTAAATCAGTGTTACCAAGAACATAAATTGCTGCAGTATGCAGAAAAAGAACTGGTACAAGGTACATCACCACCCCAGAAACTTGGTGCATCTAAGGTTGGGCATACATACTTAAACAGATTGCTTAGAAGTTGGGATGAAATAAGATAATTTTTAATGCATAACCTGAAAAGATGATTAACAACATGTATAAGCTTCCTACTCAAATTCAGTGATTAATAACATGTATAAGCTTCCTAATCAGTTTCAATGATTAATAAAATGTATAAGCTTCCTAATCACTTTCAATACAATTTTTATATGAATTACATTTGAAAGTCAATAGCAACACTATTTCCCAGTTTCTATTGATCACTTGATGTGTTATACGACTGTCCCCTTTGCCTCAAACTTAATATTGACACATCAAATTTGATATACAGGGAAAATATGGAGAAGATAAAGGGAGATCGTGTTTGCTAAATTTCGTGTTCTAAAACAAAATTGTACCATTATTTGGATCACTCTATCCCGACAAGCAATATCAGATCTTTAAGGAAGCGGTAGCAAAAAGATGTTAAACTGTCCTAGTCAATCACAAACATAATTGTCATATAAAAAGTACAAATATTAAATTACTTCCATACCTGGAGCCTGTTCGTCAATATAATGTTAGGATACATTGCAGCGACATCCAAATGATAAATAAGGGGGCATTCATCACGTATAGGTTCATCCCGCATCTTCATAAGCTGCAAGTAAAGAAAAAGATCAACATAAAATGGTATACATGTGACTGCAAATTCTGTGCATGGGTCAAATGTTCCTACCATTATTATATCACAATCTTAGTTAGACCAGTGATAATCAGTGAGAAATGAAAATAAAGTAAATCATGCAAGCTTTGTGTAGTGGGATGTGTTCCCCGCTTAAGCGCTTTTATATGAAATTTACTTATCAAAAGATTAAAAAAAAGTAAATCATATAAGCTTTGAAGTAAAAAAAAAAATAGTTCCTCAAGGTTCTGTAATATAGAGCATTAGACAAAATTTTCAAGTAATATAATGTAGATTAATTTTATTTGCTGTTTTAGAAAAATATATACCTATATAAGATAATATTGCAACTGACTTTAAATTAAGAATAAACAAGATCGAATGGTTAGCATGTAAGACATAGATAAATTTAATCCAATATTAAGAACAAAATAAGTATGATTTTTTAATTCAGCGATCCAAGCATCCTTTTTTTTTTTTTTTTTTTGATAAGTAAGATTATATTAGAAGCATTCAAAAGGGGAATGCAGCCCAAAATACAAGTATCAGTTTTGAAGCATTAGTCTTAGTCTTGAGAGCATAAAGAGCCAGCACCTTTTCCACTATGCCATTCTTCACTTCATCATAATTTGAGATTGATTCCAGTTCCATCTTACCCTCTACTCTAATAGCATATTGCAGATCACGATCAAGGTTGTCGATCAGTTGCTGAAAATCAAAAAGTACAGCAAAGTCATAACTATTCATGAAGCCAAACCATTTTGCAGAAAGGTTAGCAAAAATCTGTAATGGAGCAGTTCACCAGAGAATGATGCAAAAATACAGATTCAATGTTAAAAAAGGCTTTTAATGGTTTTACACAAAACATCAAGCAAAATGGTAGGAAATGCACAAGATGGTCAATAAGTCAACTTTCAGCTCATCAATCATCATACACCCATACTACAACAAGCTACCACGCAATGGAACATATCATAGTCCTTGCACCTACACCAAACACAAGCTTACTTTTAGACATCTTCTAAGTTATGTCTTGTGTTACAAGATTCTTTTAAATGTGCAAGGATATAGTACATGTTGCAAACAAATGACACATGAACAAAGTACCAGTGCCGTATACATGGTATTTGGATTTAGGTATGAATATAATGTATCCCACATGTCTGGTTGGACATCCACCTAGCAAGCATATTTAGATAATCCAAGTTTATTATATAATTGTACATAGAAATCCTTTAGTATGTTCCTTTTGTTATTATACTCTTCGGAAAGAATGAAGTGCCCATGTTGAACACTACATTACTAATAACACCATTTTACCACTTAAAATAAAAGAATGTTGAAATTTGGATACTTATGATGATCTCTAGTCTTCAGGTTTGAGGATTTAACAGTTCTGGCACTTAGAGACAATTTCCACATTCGATAAACGTACCAAGTTCATGTAACATGGGATATATTTGAAATATTGCAAAAAGTGTCCACTGTTTTGGAATTCAGATAAAAACTGAGAGAGTATATCTTTGAACATTGAGATTGCCTTCTACCTCAACTAATTTTTTTTTCTCATAAATGAAAGAGTGCATAGAAATTAACTTCTACAAACATCTGGAGGAATGAGTTTTTATGTGTGAGTTTTTATCCTTCGGGACTTGAAACTTTAGAATGAGATAGTGTTTAAATTAAGATGTAACGAGTGCTCAGTTTGTAATAAAACATCAATTAGAATGAAGTTCAGAAGACCATGGATGACCTTTTCTATGGACTAAAAAATGGTTCTGGAATTAAAGAATTAATTAATTTATAAGGAAAAAATTAATTAATTAATTTATATCTAAAAAATAAAAATAAAAGGAACTGTAAAATATTCAACCAGTGGAGTTACCAAGACATAGTAAGTAAATATACTTCTCACCATGTGATGAAAGGTTGCCGTGAACACCATAGATATGCATGGCAGCTAGGAAATATATTGTAGTCTTTACATAGTGATCAATGGAAGGCACGGATTTGACGGAGGTGTAAAATTTTACCAAAAAATCACATATGGCCGTAATTTTGTCATCTAACATAATTGAGAACTAAATATCACAGAAGTTTTAAATTTTGGATTCCTGCCAAGGTTCCTGTACAATTCCAAGCAACCATAGGCCCAGAGGTGTAGTACAGATTGTTGTAAACGTCTAATATTTACAATCGGACAAAAATTTCACCTAAAACGACCTGACAAGGTTTCCATTCAAAAATGGGGAAAAAGACTCCAAACCAATTCATATGATTTTTACACTGCCTGGCATAAGAGCATGCCATCTTTAATTCCCTTTGGAAAGAAAATGACATTACTTCCGAGAACTCTAAGAAATGAAATTTTCAGTTTTGAAGGAAAATTATTTGTATTCAAAAACAAACACCATCTGGCAAATGTTAAACAGTAAAAAATAAACACAAAATGGTGTGCCTCTGGTTAGATGTGATAAAGGAATAGAGACAACACATCACAGACAATTGAATTCCTTACAGTTCAGCAAATCAGATGGACAACTTACTTGATAGGCAGATGGATCAAGCTTAAAACTAGTTGGAAGGTCAGATCTGAAAACACCACTTTCTAGGCATTCCACATGGCCACCAATATATGTCTCACTCTCCAGAAGCTGTCTGTTGTAAAATTTTTCTGGATCAGATTGATGTTTATTAGGACAAATAACATTTGCCTTGTATGCCTGCAAATATAATATTAGTTAATTTTTTTTTCATGAATATTAGTTAATTTTTTTATGAAATCGACAGAAATATAGTACTTTAAATAACCTAGAGATGAAAGGATATTTGCACCATTAAGAAGTGTCAAGGCTAGAAATTCAGAAAATAAAAATAAATTAAAATAAGGAATCCAAAACCATTCACAAATTAAGCAGAAAAGGCAAGTGGCCATTGTTTAAACATACATGCTCCTAAGAACACACCTGGACCATAAGAAGCATTTCACAAAGGGTCCCACTTCCTTTACGTAAAACCTCATCAGGCGGCATTGGTATGATAGTTGCAAGGGAGAAAATGAAGGGATGAACATACATCATATACAAGTAATAAGTTGCAACAGCATCAGAAACAGAATAGGAGGCCATCATCTGAAATAACATTTCAAACAAAAAAAAAAAAAACCAAACATCATTAAAAAATGTCCACAGTAAGGGAATGAACAAAAAGGCAATAAATAGTTTCAGATTCAGATACTCAGTGACATCTAACTCATGCAATAATGCTTGCAAGAAAAGAATGGCTATGCTCATCGTCTGCCAAAAAGAGTGTATATGGCTGTTCTGAACTGCCTCTCTGAGTCCATCATAGTGACTCAAGTTGGCAGCCAGAAATGAACATGGATGTCTTTCTAGGTTGCCAAGTCATATGGAAATATTAACACTCTTATAATCTATGGACAAAGCATGGAGCTTGCAACCTGAAGTACATCCATAGTTTATACCTATTTGCTATTTTAAGTTGGCTACAGCGGAACATCCACAGTTTATAGAAAAGTATCAATGGGACTTAATGGAATCGCCAGTTCCTTCCATTTTCCTTCACTGATCAAGAGAACAGATTACATACAAGCCATTCCCACTTTAGCAATGTGCACATTCATGTGACAAATCATTATGCACAATTTCTAAATGTCAATGGATGGTCAACAGGAGCTTACTTCATCTGTTGTTACCTGCATGCAGTCAACCTACCGACTTGATACCATCATACCAAGCTCCAGTAAGACAGCATATTTATATCTCCCACAGCAGGATCCTCCCATATCAGCTCTGATTTTTCTCAAAAGTATGACAACGATAATACGAGTTCTATTTAACACATTGGCTAAGAAGCATGGACAGGGAGACCTGTAAGGAGGAATTGTATCCGTGTGAGACACATTTCGGACACCAACACCTCTCACACACTCCCAAACACATTCCACGATATCATAGACGTTTGCGCGACTAAGAATAAGATCCTTCATTCCTCAAACACATCTGATAATTCTTAGACACTCACAAACACATATTTAACAAATGAACCTTGGACTTTAAAATTGGGAAAAATCATATTTGAAAGGAAAAATAAATTGAAGGTTTATACAAAATTTATTAACAGTTAGACATATTTAAGAAGGCAAAAGGTATAGAAAAGTTTTTCGAAGGAGTGGCATAGATATTATTTATCAAAACATGATACATAAATCTTTTGTTACATAAATCATAAATCCATAAATCATATACATAAACAAAAACATGATACATAAATCTTTTGTTAGTTATATCATTCTCTATTATGCAGCAAGGGGTGATCATGATTTTTACAATTTTTAAGTTACAAATTTTACATTGCACTTGTAGAATAATAGATTTACATATCATAAGGAAATGTTATACATAACATATTTTTATTTGAGTAATGCTCCTAAGAGGACCCTCTCATGAGAAGACCCATGAGCTCTCCCTCTTTCACCATTGGATTAGAAAAGTTTTTTGAGATGTGTTCAAAGTCAAATGAATTATTTAATACATCTTTCAATTCAAGTGTTAAAAAAGGAGAGCCTATGGTCTTCTTATGAGAGGGTCCTCTTAAGAGCATCTCTTCTTTTTTTTTTATTGTCATGTCTGTTACTTATGTTTTTAAGATTTAATCTGCTGGCTAGTCCAAGTTTTACCATGTCTCCTTGTCCATGCTTCTTAGAACATAGGCATCTCTTGCTTCAATTTCACCCATAACAGTATGAACATCCTAAGCTACTGTAGCAGTATCTAAAGCAATCTTTGACACTAACACGGGAAGCTGCTATTTTAGCCAATCTATGAGTTTGTTCCCTGTGGTTATTAATCTCTAATCTTCCGACCATGCCATATATATTTGAGCTTCCATTTTGGATTATCATAGGTCACCATTTTATTCTCAGGTTCATAAAAGTTTCTAAACAAGGTCTCCTGCTGAAAGCTCACAGTTTAGTAGCTGTTTTCCAAGCTCTAATGTCAGATATAAAGGGCTTGAGCAAGTTTGTCTGCCCAATCAATCAGAAGCACTACCTATCAGTCTTTCTTGGTTACTAATAAAAAACCCGTTTACATAAGATCTCGGTGATTTGTTTGGATATGAGATGAAAAAAGTTCGGAAGTGTTGACAACTATCTACTCCAAAAGCTTAAGCTATTAAAGAGGGTGTAACATAAATATATAAATCATTCAACACGTCCCCTCACGTTTGGCCTTCTTTTGGTCCAACACGTGTTTCAATTTTAGTTATCAGGGTGATGGTGAGGTTTGAACACAAGACCTTTGGCTCTGATACCATGTTGACAACCATCTACTCTAAAAGCATAAGCTATTAGAGAGGGTGTAATTTAAATATATAAATCATTCAACAGTTCGAAAATATTATTTTAGGAACCCTTAAATTACTCCTTGATAGAATATTTGATATGAGAATATCATAGGAAGGATTTTAGCCTATGATAGAATTTTTTATTGGAGCGATTTATGGTATTAATTTTAGAAATCTTCCATCAATGTATTTTCCATATTTATCACTTTTATATTTTCACCTATAAATTGAGGTGATCATTGTATACAAATATTAAGAGAGTATAATAAAGATATGTAGCCCCCTGGGCTTTGTGTGTCGTGGATGTAAGTCCTAGTAGCTGAACCACGTTATATTCTTGTGTTCTTCATGTTTTAGTTACTCTCTTCAACTTTTATAGCTTTCAACATGGTATCAGAGCAGGTTTATCATACCCTGCTCTACACTCTACTCGTCTCAGATCTCCGGATCAACTCATCTTGAATCTCCTGATCAACTCGTCTCGGATCTTCGGATTTCGGATCAACTCATGTCAGAGTTACTCGTCTCAGACTCTCACAACTTCATAATTAGTTTCAAGTTGGACACTTGAGTTAAAATCTCCGTGTACCAACTTGAGGGGGGGTGTTGGAAAATATTATTATAGGAACCCTTAAATTACTCCTTGATAGAATATTTGATATGAGAATATCATAGGAGAGATTTTAGCCTATGATAGAATATTTGATTGGAGTGATTTATAGTATTAATTTTAGGAATCTTCCATCAATGTAGTTTCTATATTTATCACTTGTATTCTTTCACCTATAAATAAAGGTGATCATTGTATAGAAAGATTAAGAGAGAATGTAATAAAATAGATGTAGCCCTCTGGGCTTTGTGTGTCATGGATGTACGCCCTAGTGGCTAAACCACGTTATATTCTTGTGTTCTTCATATTTTAGTTTCTCTCTTCAACTTTTATATCTTTCAACAGGAAAAGATAAGGATATCATCTGATCAATTCAAGATGAGGATGAGTCGAGCAGTATTTGGAAAAGAGAGAGATGGGTAGTGTTTGGATATGAGAGAGAGATGGCTCAAGAGCCTCAGCCCAGCATGCTAGCTGAATGAGACATAAAAATAAGCTCAAGCTTGGCTGGTTTACTTAATGAGCAAACACGAGCAAAGCTTTTAACAACCCGAGCCAGAACTGTTCATTTGCAGTCCTAAACACGGCAGCAATTTACTCCAGAATATGTCAGATCTGTCCATAACGTGCTACATCATTATGGCCATCCTCTAAAGCAGACACCGCAGTTTGCAGTTCATCAAAGTTACATGTTATCAATTAGTAAGCATTCAATAATTTTCCTGCATTCTTAGTTTCAAAAGCACCACCATCAGTTCTAAAAAAATTGAACCAATTCTGTTAAGTAATACAATATTTCCAATAACACATACCTGGGGCTTTTCCTTTGCAAAGCGAACCATATCTTCCGGATTCACCTCCAGTGGATCATAACCCAACTTGGCCTTCGTAACAGCCTGACATATAAGCATAGAAGAGGAAACGTGTTAAGTTTACTACAGAAAATAACACAGGTCACACGGGGAAATAGCCAAATTCCTTGCAAAGCTAAATAAATCATTTCAAGCCTTGAACAAAAATAAATAAACAGTTGACAGCAGAGAAGATAGATGTCCCTACTCTCAGTAGATTTAGGAAAAGATCTTGTTGACCTCACTAGATTAGTTGCATTGAATGCTAGAATCAAACATAAATGCTCAAAGATTCAAAATATTAAAAGCAAATCCAGCCATTTTCAACCTTCACAATTTTAGGGTGTCAAGGTGTTGGTGTAAGACACCATTTACAACCAAATCAGTTAAGTCATTTAAATAATCCATGGGATGGGCAAAATAAGAAGTTTGTATTAAAAAAGACAGAAGCTCTATGCTTGTTCTTTCGTATAATTATTAAAATCTAATGACACATAAGAAAGAAGGTAAGTATTTTAAGAACAATAGATGCAAGCATTTAGTAAATTAACAAATTGACTACAAAAGAGGACAAGATACATTAATCTGAATACAACTTGGTTATTGTATCTTGCTTTTTGGCCTAACAAGATATAGAAGTTCCCAAGAAACACAAATGCAAGTGGTAGATTGCCATCCATAACATCATGATTCCAACCAGCAATTAGATAGACATTGAGCAAAAGCTAAGAAATGAATGTAAAATATATGACAAGTCACCATGCCATGAAAATACCAAAAATCCATAGGGCATCAGCATAATGGATAGTGTGGATGCCAACTAATTGACTATGTGACAATGTCAGGTCACGATTATGATGAGGTAAATAAGATTACCTACTAGCTGATGAGAGAGAGTGGCATTAGGTGACCAGCCATCATCTAGACATATTTATGAGAGTAAGAGCAGTGCATGTTAAATGAGCTTGAAAGATCATATTTGCATATATAATTCTGCAGAGGAAGTAGATGGCCAATGCAATGCAATTATCGTCCCTGGTGATAATCATATCATCAACATATAACAGAAATATAGTCCGTTAACAAGCCAAAAAATTAGCATGAGGATGCTCAACAAGATGGAAACCAGCTGACTATAAGATAAATAGATCAACGAAGTGGACAATCTAGCTATAGGAATGATGTTGGGGAGGCTATTCTAAGCTTTGGAATGTTAACTTATGATAGCAAATACCCATTTTAAAAGAGGGATAGACATTGATTTTTCTTTTTTTCCCTTAACTAGAGGAGTGGAAAACTTCACGTGCAAATGTTGTAAGGTTTTTCTGGAAAAAAGCTTAATAACATAAAATAGTCTGACAGTATTAGACAGGTATATTAAAGGACAATCAAGAAAGAGAAAGGGGATTATAAACTTGGTAGGATTTGAAAGAGGAGAATGTAAAACATTTAAGAACAAGATGACAAAATAAATAACATGGACTAGAAAATAAAACTAATATAATGTGGAATAGAATAGCTGAAAGTATTAAAAAAAATAGTGAATAGATCTTCAAAAATTAAAAGGAAGAGGATCATATCGAAGAAACTCAAACCACAATAAAAACAAAAAGTTAGTGCATAGAATTTGTAACAAACCAAAAATGAATAAACCTTTGATAAATAAAAATATGTAAAGAAGAAAGTCAAAAAATTAGTGTGAGATGCTAAGTATAAAATATATGATGATATTTATTCAAAGTAGGTACAAAGAATGAGAGAAATAATATAAACAAACTTGCTAAATTAAGAGAGAATAAAACTAGAGGTTTTAATAATATTAAGTGTATGAAAAGGAAGGATATAAGGATCTTGGCTAAGAAGCAGGTATACTTCTATAAGGAGGTGTATCGGTATCATATCCTTGCCATACAGTCATACTCCTCCAATACTCACAGATACATATCCAATACTTTTTAAAAGTATCAATAATTTTGAAAATAAACTTTTTCTTTTCTATTTTAAACAAGTATATTTCTCAAATACTTCGAGAAACATCAAACAAATTTTGGACACTAAATTTTAATTTATTTAAGTACAGCATCATAGTATAATTGTCAGGAAAAGCATAAAAAAGATGCAGAATACATAAAACCTCTTCCAAAATGACGATTCGAGATATAGCGAAAAATGTCACATTTAATTTAGTCCAAAGTTTATGTTAATGCTAGGGGTTGCGAACTGTGTTAATGGGTTGTGTTCGTGTAATGTCAAGACAATAGGATATTCTGTTATATGTGTCAAACCAAGCACGATCAATTGGACATAAATGAGAGAAAATCGATGAAGATGGTTTAGCCATGTATAGTGACAGCCAATAATTAAAATGTTAAAAAAGAAGGATGTGGTCTTATTGAGGGTAATGCTAGGGGAAAAGGAAAAATACAACTAACATACTTTAAAATTATTATAAAAGATACAATCCATTAACAGGGGCAGACCCAAAAATGTTATATTGGAGGTGCCAACTTAACAGTAAAATATATATGTGTGTGTGTATATATATAATGTATTCATTTTTTTTATAATAGAATATTCAAAAGGTGGATCTAAGAAAATTATTTATAAAGTAAAAACATTTCATAACTCAATGAGTGCATAAAATAAGAAGAATAGGTACAAGTGTTATTTTTCAGGAGTCACGTATTAATCTTTTTACCTTTTTATTATTTATAGGACTACTTTTTAGGGATTTTATTAAATTTGGAGGGGTAATATATTAAAAGAAAATTACTACTTTATAACTCCATCAGCCTATTTTTTAGGAATTTAAAAAAAGAAAATAAAATTTGGGGGTCCCTTAATAGTTTTGCCCCTACAATCGAGTCTGGTTTAACTAAGGTTATCATCTTAGAACAGAATTAGGATACAGGATTTATGTATTGGGCCCAAATAGTTAGAAAAGGGATTTATTGAGTTGAATTCTTTGAATCTATGTTTTTCCCTTCTTTTCATTTTACAAATTCTGTGATGGTTGACGACCCTTTGCTTTCCAAATGTTCAAAAAATTATCCATGTGGAATGGGTATGATCACATCAAGAATTTCAATCTTCAGTGCTCTTTTTCTAACATCGTATTATATGCAAAAAGATAAATTTATAAGGAAGTTGATCGATGATGTCTAGATTACGGAAGGATAATTGTAAAAGATCCCACTTAGCTATCAACAAAACAAAAATAAAAGCAGCACAAACCAATATGAGTACACAAATAAATAAGAAATAAATGAATTATTATAATGGTCTATAAAAATATCAAATGCATCTATGTTTAAACCTCAAGTGCCAACAAAAAGAACAGCATACTAGAGCGTCAACATGTCTTATAAGTATAAGGAAATAATGAATTTATGCTCTTCCATTGATCAGAGAGAAGTGTTAAAAAAGAAGCAAAGATCACAAAGTCAAAAAGCACATGTGCAATAAACATGAAATATCATCATATATAGGTGAATAAAAAATAAAAGTTCCAACAAGCACAAAATAGTAATAACATAACACAAATGTAAATTGGTGATATGCACCTTTAGGCCCTGGCTCCCCTGGGGAAGATAACTATCACGTTTGACCCATGCAAAACAATCCAGGTGGCAAGCAAATTTAGCACGACATTCCCCCTGATTCTTATCACATTGAAATCCCAGTTCCTGCAAGCTCGAAAACAAAAGGACGTAAAAGAGAAATCACGTTTCAATCATAATGCATGCGCCTCAACCTGAAAAACTCCAATTGAGAACCAAATTAGAGTTTCTCTAAAGCCATGCAAAGATGGTAACAAGGCTGACATACAACCATTGTTAGAACAAGTACAATCAAAAGATAAAACTCAAGCCAACGGTTCTACAAATATTTGTTCAAATGATTACAGTATCACAAGGATTGTTACTGATACTAAACTAAATGCAAGATGATCGTTATAGTATCAACCCCTCAGAATATCTTAAAATAAGATTCTTATTGAAAATACGTTTTTTTTTTTTTTTTCCCCAGGCAATATGTAAACCATTTCACTAGAAGGGTACAGAAAGTAGCTGTTTCTGGACAATGTTGATGTTTTATCACATTGGACTGGCAATGAAGGAAACTCATGAAGCAAGGCTTAAATTATATTGGTTATATCAAAACATTCTGGGTGGACAAACTTCAAGAATTCTCACAAAGACCAAAATAGAAAAACACGAGCCTTTAGGCAGTTGTAGACTATTTCCAACTATAAAAGTAACCTAGAAGGCCAATTTGTGTATAATGCTAATTGCATTTAAAAAAAAAAAACTTAGCAACATACATCACTCATTCTAAACCCATGATGAGCTGCTCTGCTTTCGATAAATGGCCAGTCAAAAAAGTCGCCGTTGTATGTGACATAAATACCAGGCTTCACCTCTCGCATATGGGAAAACCATTGTCTGAGAAGCTCTTCCTGCATCAAAAACCAAACCATATCGTGCATCAGGACCCTAAAAAGGATTGAAACTATAAAAAGTTTGAAAATATCATTACCTCGTTTTTTACATTGTAAACTTTGAAACACCCTTCAAATTCTGGTTTTGGGGTGTATTCCAGATCCTCTATATCTTCACCAACACACTGAAGAAAAATGAAAAAGAATCAGATTATATTAACCCTTGGAAATGTACAATGTTATCATTTCCACAAATGTATTTCAATTCTAACACATGGGATGGCCACGATGATGCTTATTGAATTACAAAGCAATGGCCGTGTTACCTGTAATGATAACAATGCAACTCAAAGAATGATAACAATTCAATAATAATTAATCTTGTAAATGAAGTAAATTAATTCTCAGAACATGATACAAAAATAATGAGAACATGAATGGATGCCATAAGAGGAATTATTTTTTCTTTGATAAGTTGAAGTTATATTAAAGCAGATGCCAATCGAGACACAACCAGGAAGGCAGAGGTTATACAAAGTTATAAGCTATAAACATAAATTAGTCACCTAACGAATGAAGAAACAATCATACAAAACTGAGAAATTCCTGTGAAAAGGGAAGGAAAAAAAAACAAAAAAAAAAAAAAAAAGACTCAGCACCACATGCCAAAGAAAAGTGTATTCCTCTACCCTGTATACTCCACTATGATAAAGGACAAACCAACCATGTGGCTCTCTTCCACTCATTCCAGAGACTCTCCAACTGGGCAGAAGCTCAAGGGCTGAGTTGCACATAACTTAGAGAAACCCAAAGAAGGAGAAAGAAATGGCCTGTAAATTGTAATGACTAGTCACTGGACAATTTTTCTCTATGTGATGCACTGCTCTCCATCCCTTGTGCACATCCATCATATCTTCTATGCTTAGGTCCTATCTTTCCAATTGCGGAAATCCAACCAAAGATAGCAGCCATGGGAAGATAAAAATATATATTAAGAAAAAAGCACGAGTACAATTTATGTATGCCGTTATATGAAACTTAATAATAAAAAGAATATAATTTAACAAAAAACATATAATAACGAAAAATTATTCAACCACAAATTACTTGACTGGAAAACCTATTGCAGCTTTATTAGACAAACATTTTTAGTGACATTTTTAGTAGTAATCCGGTACAGCACTACAGCCTCATCAATCACCCCCTTTCACATCAACTTGCAACCCACTTTTATATGCCAAACAGTCCATATGATGTCTACCAATAGCAATCTTGTGAGAAAAAGAGAGAGAGAGAGACTGATGCCACCTCTTCAAGAAATATACATCTTTTCTATTGCTCTGATGATCACTATTAATGAAAATATCATTATTATAAGATATTCTATACTTTTTACATCAATGCATGGTATACTCTAAACGGTGAATTTTAAAAGCATATATTCTCTACCTTGATGGTAAAGGACCTAGACAAATTGAGGGATATGGCCAAATTGTTGTTTTGAGAACTAAAGCAACGATTATTTTCAAACAAAACTGTTATATTACTTCATAGTCATGAAGATTTTGGCAACACCTTCTCCTAAAAAATAATACTAAAAAGCAACCTCCTTTTTTTTTTTTTTTTTTTTTTTGATAAGTAAAAAGCAACCTATATTTATCCAGACGTGTCTCAAAATAAACAAACAAGTATATCAAGAATTCATTTTAGAACATACAAATAAAGTAAAGCTTTAGTGTTAACTTTGCTGTATTCACCTCTCTGTTAATAATTAAATACCCTTGTCCGTCAACCATGTACGATATCATCATTATTAAATCATATTCAGCGTCTGGAAATTTCAAAGGGAGCTTTGTTGTCTCAATATCAAATGCACAAACATGAACTTCAGCACGTTGCAGGAGATCAGTCCTCCTTTCTAGCATAAGACCAGCACTGGATACAATAACATTGTACCACTGTCCACATCTTACATCTGAATTGCATAAAAATTTCTTAGTGAGAACAAAGGGAATGGTCAATTTAATTATTACTTTTGAAAGTACTAAATAGAAGTGAATTGAACAATCAGCCAAAAGAAAATTCACCGTTATCAACAGCAAAGCGAACATGGTAAGGAACATCATACTCGCGGAGATCCATGATACAATCTATGAAATCTTGAGGTCTCTGTTTGCTGCAGGTCAAGCAACTAGACATCTTATGATCAAGAGAAAAAAAGGGTTCCCTACTTACAGTGAGATGCAGAAAATCAGCATTGTGCAAAAATTCAGGTTTTCAAAAACAACAATACATTTATCTATACAGGAATAGCAACATATATGTATTAAGTCAAACCAAGATGTTCCATGCTAATAAAATTTGAATCAGTACGCTTGTTCTACCTTTTCCCAGTTAATATAGACTCATATGCGTCTGCAGCATCAAACTTTGCCAGGTTTCTTTCAACAACATGCACTAGATCACTCTTCACATGCATCAGTTGTTGAACAGTATCAAAAGATATCTTCAAATAAGATTTGTGTAAGCCGGAAAGATGGTTTTTCTGTCATGAAATAAAGCAATCAGATGCAGTTTTGGGAAAATGTATAGATAAGAGTTCAACCATCTCAGGCATGAACAAACACATTGAAATTCAACAATATAAATAATAATCAAATAACCTGTCAACAAAAACCAAATGCAAAGATGGCATCCAGCACAATAGCCATTAGTAGTTCTAAGGTGCACTTCTAGAATGGTGAAAAGCTTAGAAACGAGCTGAGATCAGTATTTTTTTTTTTTTTTGTGATAAGTAAAGGATTTTTGATGAGTAGATTATTCCATTACCAGCCCACAAGAAGAAAAATGAATGAATAGAAATCATCTAAGATGCTAATTAGATGTATGCGTGCACACCTCTCTTGTTCATAAGCCTGAACAAGTCAAGCTAAAAGAAAATTTTTTAATAGACAGAACCTGAGCAAACCTCTTTAATAGTTTACACCAAAGTTGTCATAGCAGCAAATGACATCCAACAGCACTACTTCTAAAGATAATACCAAGTTAGGCCGTCTTGGATGGGATTTAGAGGGCTATTTGCAAGTGGAGCAAGCCTTGTCTTTGATCTAGGTGGGGTGCCAAATTGGACAACTTCCACTACTCTTTACAAAGCTTTTGGATTAGCACCAATTGTCATGCTATAATTGAGCTATGTTACAGGATGAAAGGCTTTAATCAGGTATTGCTTATGTAGCATATTAGCTGTTCATATCACTCTTTTACTTTGTCATGAACAGCAAAATAATCTAATTTCCATTTCAAATTATACTAACCTCGCCACAAAATTTTAAAAAATATTGTAGGCAACATTATTATATATCCACACATTATATTTGTTTATCCTTTCATTATTCAACTGCGTGAAGTTGGTTATATAGGGCCATGGCCACATTCCAAATGATCAAACTTATTTTTATATATAGTAAAATTTTGCTTAGAATGTGGTCACTGACAACAATCATTTGTGAATTTCCTCCTCTCGAAACCAGTGTAGACAGTTTTGCACCAAGGCAAGAATCATTCACAATTTCCATCTCTTAAGCAAAATAGTTGTGAGATCTATCGAAAACCGACATAGCTTAACTCATCTATTTCGAGTACACCCATAACTTACTAGAATCATGACTCACATCGAAAGTGTACTACATTTTCGTAAATTAATTTCCAGTAGATGTCAATCTATTAAACTAATACTAAAAATGAAGTATGGGGCAAAATTGTGATAGATAGGGAGACTAACACTACAAACTTCCTCCCATTCTATGCATGTAAAAGTGAGAATGTAATTTATTCCAAATAAATTGTCTAATATGGTAGTTGTAAAAAGAAAAAAAAGGGAAAAGAAAAAGACACCTGAAAAAAATTATTGGCTACAATTCAAGAACGATATTAGATATTAGAAAAATAAAAATGAATGTGACATTAAAAGACAAAGGCCTTACAAGATCAAGATCCTCTTTCTCCATGATTTCTATGTCAGCAATTTGATTCTCATAACGTCGTCTCAAATATGCCTCAACATCCATTTCCATTTTGTCCTACAACGTAAAAAAAACCACCATAGACACGCGACAATTAACTAAAATCAGAACCCGACATAGTAACCCTCTAAAAGTAGAATATGCACTATAGTCTATATACCTTTGTGGCAGCGTAGAAATACGGCCTGAACTTGTACTTCGCTTTGAAAGTAGAGCCATCCTGAATTCAAATTAAGAAAATTTACTCAAATTCATTCTACGGATCTAACTTAATTGACAAGAAGAATAATTTATAGTATATTGCTTCATTACCTGACAAACGAAATAAAGATCGACACAACTATAGACCTTGCGAGTTTCTTGATCCTCCCAAGATGACTACAAGATACAATAAAGATTGCGTGATTCTTGAGCAGTTGTTCTTGACTACAAGAATGTAGAGGAAAATTGGGGGAAATGAAAAAGAAATTGTGAACTTGGTCGTGTATTGAACGACTCACCGACGCGAGTGTAAGCAACCAACCGAGGCGTTTTTCACCTTCGGAGAAAATATCGAAACCAAGCTTGGACTCGAGCTCTTCTTCGGCGGTGAGGATGAGCCTCTGCTTCTTGGAAATTCTTGAATCTTGGCGGTCTCGTCTTCGGTTATCGCCGTTCATCTTTTGATCTCCGGCGGAAAGCCTCTATTAACGCTTTCAGATCGAGGGTTAGACCTAAAATGTTAGAGAGGGAGAGAGAGAAAGCACCTTCTGAGAGACGGGAGACGAGAGACTGAGGAGGTGAGGGCTAGAGCCCTTTCCCGCGCTTTCTTCATCTCCTTGATAGTGTGCTAATGACGCAAATACCCCTCTGCTTGGGCCTCGAGACAGAAAACAAGCCTTTGAATCCAAAGACAGAAAAACAAGATGGAGTGCCTTTTTATAAGGCCTGGCTTCATGTTTGGGCCGGAAGACCAAAAAAAGAAGATAGCGCGTTTTATAAGTCCAATGTATAAAACAACCTCGCTTCATGCTTGGCCTCAAGAAGAAAAGGAAACAAGATCGCGCGTCTTATAAGTTGAATGTCGAATAGCTTTCAATTAATGATCCTTGGGCCGAATTGGCGCTTGACAATCTCCACATTTTTTTTTTTTTTGGGTCCATGTGCATATTTATATACTACGTATAATGGTATATTTTACGTATTTGTGGGCAATGCGCATAAAATGCATTATTTTTCATTAGTTTTAAATGAATTGTCCTTTGTAGGACTGAAATTATGTTAGACTGTTTGAGCAACAGTTTTTAGGATTAAGCTAGCTAAATATAATAGACCCGAGGTTAATCTTGTTGTTTGATAAAATTAAAAATTAAGTACTGAAAATTTTAAGAGCTGAATTTTAAGTACTGAACTTTTTAAGTGGTAATAAAAATAAATAAATAAATAAATTATTATTTTCAGCGTTCAGCATTCAATAATAAGTGACGTCCCCAACACTTAAATTTTCACCCCATTTTTAGTGGTGCTTACTATTTTAAATGATTCAAATTGCATTATCAAACGCACTTAATTGAATAAACCGTTAATTCGTTCATAATTAAGTACTAAATTAAATTTTCATACGACCTCTTACACTTCACCAGGAAATTGATTATTCTATATGATGTTGTTACATTTATGATTTAACCTTTAACCATGGAACAATAGAATTATTAGCGGTTATATTAATTAGCACAATAATAGAGTTATAGCAAGTTATACATATTGAATTGGATGGATCTATAGTAAATTTCGTAACTTGTAAATTAGCCCTACTTAGAAGATTATATAACTTTTGAGATGTCATATTAAATTTTGATTGCGACAATACTAAATCGGAAATTACATACGAGTATGATTGAGTTTTATGACTACTATATACTAGAGTATCTAGATACTTATAGATGTCTTAACATAGATTCATCAATTATTAGATAGTTTGGACTTATTAAAATTCGGTCAGTTGGATTTAATGAATTGTTTATAAATAGTAGTTGAATATGTAAACATTTGAACTCCTAAATTTTTACATATATAGGAGCTCAATTATCATTCAAAATTATATACAAGTCTAGAAGGGCACCAGTGAAATGAATTTATTATCTGTGCGACTTTTATTGGAATTTTAAAAAATGGAATGACCTATAAGCAAATAAAAGCGCTTAGAAAGGGATTCACTTGTTAGTAAACAGTTTTACAGGGGTGTCTTTGTATATATGTTGGTAGGCATTATTATTATAATAAGGGTGAACTACATTAAACCCCTTTTTTGTATCTTTGTTTTTTACTAAACTCTCATTTTCTATTTTTTTGTCATAAAACCCCCTCAACAATTAGAAAGAGTTGATTTAACTAACTCCCGTTAACTAACTATTAGAGGGGGTTGATTTAATTCTCAAGTATATATATATATATAGCAAATAAATTTCAAGGAAAAAAAAAAACCAAGATTTATATTGGAAAAAAAAAAATTAGGCATTATTTCTGGTAGTGTCCCTTTAATAAATCTATATAAAATGAAAATCAATAAAAACTAAATGAATTAATGCATAATATAATTCTGAAATATATATATAGCAAATAAATTTGAAGAAAAAAAACCTAGATTTATATTGGAAAAAAAAACCATTAAAACAACATGTTCTCTTCTTCTTATTCAACTTCTTTTATTTACCCATTATTATAATATTACATATAATTTGTATCATAATATAATGGTATATATAATATGTATCATTAAATATTATTTAAATATATTTTCATTTCCATCTAGTCTTCAGACCAATATATATCTAGGTTTTTTTTTTTATTTAGGAAAAAAATATAGTTTTTTTTTTTATTCTTGAAATTTATTTGCTATATATATATTTGAGGTTTATATTGTGAATTTATTTATTTGGTTTTTATTGATTTTCATTTTATATAGATTTATTAAAGGAATACTACCAGAAATAATGCCTATTTTTTTTTTTTCTAATATAAATCAAGGTTTTTTTTTTCTTGAAATTTATTTGCTATTAAATATATATATATATATATATATATATATATATATATGTATGTATTTGAGAATTAAATCACCCCCTCTAATAGTTAGTTAACGGAACTTAATTAAATCACCCCTCCTCTAATAGTTGAGGAGGGTTTTTTGATAAAAAAAAATAAAAGAGGGGGATTTAGTGAAAAGCACATATAGAAGAAGGGGGTTTAATGTAATTCACCCTTATAATAATGCTGAGTTATTATTATTTCCTAATCATATAAGGATATAAACAAGTGATTAAAATCTGATAAGCAGTACAAATACTAATTTAATTCCGAGTCGTACAAAGATACAAACAACAACTACAAACCGTAATTTGTTTATGGTATGTTTTTCCTATAAAATCTCATAATTACTAGTCCAAATCATACAAGGATATAAACAAGTAAAAACCCTAATTTGTTTATGGTATGTTTTTTCCTATAAAATCCCATAATTAGTAGTCCACCTATCCAGACAAAAATAACCATTACCCTATTTTGTAGCATAACCTCGAGCTTTCTTCTTAATAAAACCCTAGAAGCGGCCTCAAGCGCTCATATCCGACATTCAGGGTATTTTTTTTTAATTTTTTTGGTACTATCATCTATGCCTCCGGGTTTTTAATCTCCTAAGCAATATACATTTATATTTATATTTATATTTGTATTTATATTTGTATACGTATCTATTATACATGTATTCTGTATTCTGATTTTGCAATGTGTTTTGAGTAAAGATGAAGGTGATCGCTGCGTATTTGCTCGCTGTGCTGGGAGGCAACACCAATCCATCGGCTGATGATTTGAAAAATATTCTCGGTTCAGGTACTACCCTCTCTTTTTGCCTTTAATTTTATTCCTTGTGCTTTGCAGATCATTGCTTCGTTTGATTATTTTGGCTGTTTCTAACTGATAAGTAGGTTCATGACTGTCATGTCAAGTTGCTTATTTAACAGTTTACTGATTCAAGTCACTTTACCATCGTTGATATCACATGTGGACCATTGCAGTGATGTTTAAATAATAAAATTTTATGGTCACGTACAGTTGGCGCTGAGGCTGATGACAATATGATTAAATTACTATTGTCCGAAGTTGCGGGGAAAGACATCACTGAACTTATTGCTTCTGGAAGGGAGAAGTTGGCTTCAGTTCCCTCTGGTGGTGGTGGTGCTGCTGCTGGGGGTGGTGCTGCTGCTGCTGCTGCACCTGCTGCTGCTGAGCCAAAGAAAGAGGAGAAAGTGGAGGAAAAGGAGGAGTCTGATGAAGTGAGTTTTTTATGAGATTATATCACCAATTAGGATAAAGACTCGAATGTTTTTAATTGTCATCTTATACCTTTAGACGTGATGATATTTCTTTACATCACGAAATTGAGTTTATATTTTCTGACTTTTGTATTCATCTTGTTGCAGGATCTGGGATTCGGTCTCTTTGACTAAGGAGTTGCGACCAATCTGTCCACCTGCAGCCTTCAGTTTTTTAGTTGTTGGTGGTAGTTTTAGTTCGAAACTCTGTTCACTTGATTAATTGGGGGAATCGTTTGAAGGAATGAATTTTTTTTAATTTTTTTTAATTTTGGCGGAACGTTTATTTTTGTGGTAAGTTTGGATCGAAAGTTTATTAGTATTCACAGATTATTGAAATTTGTTGTCACTGTGACAGTTACTTGAATTTCTAGCACAATTTGTGATGTGTGTTTTGGTGGGAAACATTGCCTATAATTGAAATTCTTTATTTCATAAACATTATGACCATTACTGCACTAGTTTAAGATAACCCGCCGGAGTTTGGCACGTTTATGCCTCCTTCAACCAAAAACTCTTTACGCAGATTATTTTTCCTTTCAAACGTGCGGAATGCATATTTTTGTGCGATGCATGTGGGATTGAAAGCACATGTAGAACATGTCTTCTTAACCTTAATGGCCAAGCAGCCTCACATAAAAAAAACATGTCTTCTTAACCTTCAAAAAGAATTATCAAAAATTAGCGGTGGTCAAGCAGTCACACATAAAAAATGAGAGAATGCATCCGTAATAAAACAGTGGAATTACCCTGCTCTCAAAAGCTTTGTTATGATTAAGTCACGCATGCCCCCACAACCAAAATTTTTACTTACAAGATTGAAATCTTTGAATGAAAATACCTTAATCACACAAACTTTTGGGTTCGTCCCTGCAACTAGTACATTAGATAATAAATGCAGAGTTTTTCAGGATCAAAAGATTTCCAGAAGGGAAGAGTACGAGAACATCAAAGCACAAAATGAGAAGGCGTAATATCCATTGACAATTTCAGGATTTCCAGTTCGGTCTGATAAATATGCTTTAGCAACTACAAAACATAGCAGAGAAACCAAGCACAAAACATATACAAATTATAGTGTCATCTCAATGCCTGATTCCTCGGGGTTAATCCAGGTCATGGACATGTTACACGTCCTGTCCATTTACTTTCCTAGTCCAACAACAAAGTAACATGCTACTAAATATATATATATATATATATATATATATATATATATATATATATATATATATATATATATATATATCAATGCCATATGCCACACAATAAACAACCCTATCATCGTCATGATTCAATTTACTGATCGCCTGCCTGTGGGACTTTCTTCAAAGAGTCGAAGTCATGGATAACGATCCCAGATTTCAATAACACGAGGTGATATGTATGCTAAATCTCAAATAACCACTCATTGGAAAAGTTAATTTCTCTTGGTTTCCTCAACATGATAGCACCGTGTACCTGGCAAAACAGCAGAATCTTCAGCGAGTCTGCCGACAAATACTGAAGAAACTCGGGACAAAACAAAAATCATCTTACCAGTCGAACCCAAAAAAGAAAAATCTAATAATAAACTTTAAGTGTTAAAACTGAAGAGTAAAGAGGGTATGCATTTTTTTTAAAAGAATAATAAAAATAAAATCACCAAAATTATGTGGTATTTAGTTCATTAAATACTAGCACTAAACATATATCCAAATTAAAGTGCCAGAAATTGCAGGTCCTTGATTTTTTTTATTTAAATAAAGGTATATTAGAGAGTGTTCAAAAGGGGAACACATCCCGAAAGCTATACAAGGGCCGAAGCCAAAGAGAGGGTCCTAGGGACCCAAAGAATCCAAAAAATCCACAAATTCATCTAAAGATATACAATTTCTAAGCTCTCGTAGCTCTTAGGCTCCAGCTTGGGTTATAGAAAGACCTTGGTTGGCCTTCTATATGCACAGTTGTGGGAAAAGAACAATAGGCAAAAGCCAGAGGAAGGATTCTAATTCTATCACCCTCGCAAGGCAAGAAGTATATTTTAAGGCATTAGGCAGAAGTCCTTAAATTGTTCTTTTTAAATCTTTAAATCTATATGTATAGAAATTTATCTAAGTGTTAAAATAACATAAAATGTGAAAAATCAAAAGATAGAGAACATTTTTAGGTCACTATAAGACACTGGCATAGAAAGATAAAGAACCTGAGTTACTGACATTCCACCAATAACTAGGCACTCTAAAAATTAGATAACAGGTAAAATGAAAAAAAAAATGAAAATTGGTCAAATGAATAACTGAATAAAGGTGCACCTTTATTGCAATTTGCATCGTGAGAAGGGCGCCCCCCCCCCCCATTTTTTATAAACAATTTACATTTTGACCAAAAATAGAGAGTTTGAAAATTGACCCCAAAATAGAGAGTTCAAAAATAAATTTAGAATGTGTGTTCTTGAAATTGTAAAAAAGTTCAACTTGAACCCTTTTAACTATACTTCTAAAAGCTCGAATATTGTGAAGAAGCTCATTATTATTATAGTTGTTATTGCAACACATTGTTAATTTATTTACATATACACATGTACAATATCTATAATATTAATTCAAGAAAAAAAAAAGGGATAAAAATCACTAATGTTCCCTCATGTTTAATAAAAAAGCTTCAAGCATTTTTTATCAAACATTTTTGTAAAATGATATTTACAAGAAAAATATCTAGAATTATATAACAATCTTTATTGACATCTTGTTTAATTTATAATTATTTTGTTTAGTTAAAATTCTTTTTTTTTTTTTTTTCTAATCTTTCATCTAGGTATATCTTTCCTAGGTGAAATCAGAGTACTCAAAAATTTTCTGCAAAAAATTAGATTTTTGAAAATTTGAAACAATTGATGAAGAAAATTTGATTCTCTACAATGCCTTTTTTTTAATTGTAACTCATCCTTTTTCTATTAAGTTTTTTGTCTATTATTAAGTTGTATTTTTCTCACTTTTGAATTTTCTCAAAGTATATATACTATAACCAGTATTTAAACAATATCATATTACTTCGAAGGTGAAGTTTGGTTTGGTTTTTTCTTCTTTGTCATGCGATCTTTCTTGGAGGTAGCTAGATTGCCTCGGTTGTTCCAAGGTGGATCTGCTAGATCTGCAAATCCGTATAGAGGCCCATCGATTTTCCTGGATGATGATTCGGTACGAAGAAGAAGAGAAGATCTTCGATCATGTCTGGTTGGGAAATTTGATAAGGAAGTAGGTGACGGGGCTCAGATTGCAGCTTGGGCCGAGCGTACTTGGAAGATCTCCGCAGGAGTGACGGTCTCAACTGTACCAGATTCTTTGTTGCTTTTCTGATTTCCCTCATTGACGGAAGCCTTTCGTGTTCTTAAAGGGGGTCGTCGTGACTGGGGTACGGCATCTCTTTGTTTGGAGGCTTGGAGCTTTAGGGTTGGGTGCTCGGAAGTGTTGAAAGAGAAGGGGCTGAAGAAGGTGACGCTGTACGGTCTTCCTCTCCATCTCTGGTGTCATGCTTTGTTCCTGACAGTTGGGTTTATTTGGGTGGAAGCTGATGAAGCTTTGGACGCTGAAAGAGTCCGTATTACAGTCGCTGATGGTCGGGTTTGCCCTCCGTTTGTGTTCATTCACGATGATCAGTTTTGCTATAAGGTGTTTATTTGGGAGGAGAAGCCTCCCGAGCTTGTTCCAACAACAGATAGCTTGGAAGGGGGTGATGGTTCGCACTTGCTTAAGGAGAAAGAATGGCTGCGGTGGGAATCCATGGGGAAAAAAGGAATGGCAGAATTCCAGGTATGGAAAGAATGGAGGGACACACTTTGGATTCGTAATTCGGAGTGCTTTAAACGGATCTTCAATTAGAAGCGAAAGGAAGGGCTTCCTTTTTTACAAAATCGCCGTCGGAATGGTGGGCTTCGAATGATGCAGTGGGGCGGAGGTTTCGCCGGATTTGGTCGTCGGACTTTTGTGCAGCAACGGGATCAATCAAGACGAAGAGGTGGTTTCCCCACACATCAGGCGCGTGGGAGAGAGAGGTTTTCAGAGCGTCCAAGTGGTTGGCGCTCAGGATTTGTCCGTTCCCAATGGAGACCAGCTATCCCCACGGTCAATTCAAATTTCACTTCAAATTTGGCTTCCCATTCAGTTGGGCCTGTTGGAAGGCTTGGTGTCGAGGCTACTATCTCTTGCAATGGTGGGCCTAAGTCTATTGGGCCGCTTGTTGGGCCTGAAAGGCCTATTTCAGTTTCTAAAAGGCCTAGTTCTGTTTCTTTGGGATCTGAATGTGATGTGCAAGTTCCTTGTGCTGTGGTTGGTGGGCCGAGCGTCCAGTATTCTAAAGAAGTTAATGTTGACGGGTCTGCGGGATTAAAAGGTTGGCCGAGTTGTGGATCTGGGCCGGTGTCTAACAGGTTTGAGCCCTTGCCCTCCTTGCGAGATGATAGAGTTCCTTGTGTTGCTGGGTCGATGAAAACGAGAACGAATGTTGATCAGCGAGTGAAGGTTCCGGTCCTGAGACGTCGGTTGCCGAAGAAAAAGGTGATCCTTCCTGCTTTTCGTAAGAAATGGTCACGAAAGGATAAGCAAAAATGGGTGGTATCTTCACAATCCGGTTTTGAATCGGGTATGTTTTCAGTTCCTTCTGGTTCTTCTCCTATTAAACCGTGTTTCTCTTCTTCTTCTTCTCCTTTTTGGGGGAGTCGACAATGTCTTTGGAACGGGTGAAGGGTGGGACAGCTTCTGCTTCGTTCTCTAAAGAATCGGAGGGCGAGAGGGACTCCGTTCTTGTGGACAGACAGGATGGTGATTCTGGGTTTAGACTTGGTTTCTCTCGGCAAGGTGAAGGTTCGTGCGAGGGAGTTACAGTTTGTGTTGGTCGGGATGCGAAGGTGAAGCTTGATGATGATACGGCTGCCTTTCTGTTGAAGGAGATACGGGACCATTTGGCGTCGAAAGGCTTTCTTGGTGATTTAGGAGGAGTTTTGACAGAGGAGGAGCCTGTTTCACAGTTTTGCTCGCATTCCTCTTCTGTTCTTGATGATTGGGAGGGAGCTGCAGGTTCTTCTTTGGATGGTGACTCGGGCATGATTCCATGGGAAGACTTGGAACAAGCAGTGAATTTGGCTGTTCCTTTGGCTGTTGTTCCGCCTGGGGGTAATTGGGTTAGCAACTCGAATGTTGTCGGAGTGAATGAACTTGAGGAGGAGTGGGTAAGGGAGAAGGGATTGGAAGTGGGTCCTTTGTTGGGGGTTTCTTTTGAGGGTAGAGTGGATGAGGCTCTGTGTTTGTTTAATGATGTCCTCAATTCTCATTTTCAGGAAAAAGCAGGTGGTAAGATAAGGTTGCAGGAGGAGAGAGGGGAGAAAGCCCCAATGATTTTATCACGTATGAAAGGAGAAATAGGGGGTCCAGATCAGGAGGGAGAGGTGGTGGAAGGAAGGGAGGGTTTCCTTTCTAAAGTGTTTCCCTATGAAGTTACAAATTCTTTCATGGAATGTCCGGGGTCTCAATGATCCGGTTAGGAGGAAAGTGGTGAAGTCGGTTATTCGTAAAGGTCGGGGTCATGTGGTATGTCTCCAAGAGACCAAACTTTCTTCGATGTCTGATAGGATTGTGAGGAGTCTTTGGGGTGGGAGATTTGTGGAGTGGATTGCTTTGGATGCTATTGGTTCCTCGGGGGGCATCTTGATCATGTGGGATAACAGAGGCGTTTAAAGTGGAGGCTCAGGTGGGGCGCTTCTCTGTTTCTTGTGTTCTTGCTTTGGTTGAGGATGGTTTTAATTGGGTCTTTTCGGGTGTTTATGGTCCTTCGAAGGATGGTGTGCACCACTTGCTTTGGGAGGAGTTGGGGGAGATTAAAAGTCGATGGTGTTTGCCTTGGTGTATTGGTGGGGACTTCAATGTGGTTCGCTCTCCTTTTGAGAGGTCAACGGGTGGTAGGTGGACGTCTGATATGGTGGCTTTCTCGGAGTTTATTGATGAATTCGGGTTGGTTGATTTGCCTTTGGTTGGAGGGCCGTTTACTTGGTCCAGTGGCCGTACCCCTCCTACCCTTTCCCGGATTGACAGATTCCTTGTGTCAAGGGAGTGGGAGGAGAGGTTCTCGGAAGTTGTTCAAGCATCGTTGCCTCGTCCTATCTCTGACCATGTTCCGTTGTTGTTGAATTGTGGCGGGTTGTGCAGTAGACGATCTCCTTTCAGATTTGAGAATATGTGGTTGCGGGCTGAGGGCTTTCTTGAGCGGGTTCGTCTTTGGTGGGAGGGGTATGGTGTGGTGGGTACCCCTAGTCATCTGCTTGCAGGCAAATTGCGTCTTTTAAAGGAGAATCTTAAGACTTGAAATAAAGAGGTCTTTGGGAATCTAGAATGGAGAAAAAATCGGGTTCTTACGGAGATTGCGGCTATTGACCGCATGGAGGGTCAAGGGGATTTGGTGGAAGCTTTGAAGCTTAGGAGGGCAGAGTGCAAGGCCGAGTTTTTTGAGATTGCTATCATGGAGGAGATCTCGTGGAGGCAAAAATCTAGAGCCTTATGGCTCAAGGAGGGGGATAGAAACACGAAATTTTTCCACAGATTGGCCAATGCTCATAGAAGAGGAAATCACATAGGGAGGATTCGGGTTGAGGGGGTTACTCTTTGTAAGGAGGAGGACATTTGCAAAGGAATTTCAGAGTTCTTTGAGAAGTTGTTCTTTGAGACTGTTGAGTGGAGACCTTTGCTTGAAGGGTTGCAGTTTGCCTCTATTTCTGAGGAGGAGTGCTTGGGTTTGGAGGTGCCTTTTTCTGAGGAGGAAATGCTGATTGCTTTGAAGAGCTGCAATGGGGATAAGGCCACAGGTCCAGATGGTTTCACTATGAGGTTTCTTCTTGATTGCTGGGAGGTGGTTAAAGGAGAGGTGATGGGCACTTTCCATGCTTTCCATTCTCAGAGATTTTTTAAGAAAAGCTTGAATGCCACGTTCATTGCTCTCATTCCGAAAAAAAGGGAGGGGGGGGGGGGGGGCATTGGATGTGAGGGATTTTCGCCCTATTAGTTTGGTGGGTTGTATCTACAAGTTGATTGCCAAAGTGCTCGCTTCTAGATTGAGGAAAGTTTTGGATGGTATCATTTCGGACTCTCAAAATGCTTTTGTAGGAGGCCGTCAGATTTTGGATTCAGTCCTTATTGCTAGTGAGTGTGTGGACTACAGATTGCATAGTGGGGTCCCGGGTGTTCTTTGTAAGTTGGACATTGAGAAAGCGTATGACCATGTGAGTTGGAGCTTTCTTCTGTACTTGATGGAGAGGATGGGGTTCGGTGTTAGGTGGAGGAGATGGATTCAGTTTTGTATTTCCAGTGCTCGCTTTTTGGTTATTGTTAATGGTGCTTCTACCGGTTTTTTCTCTAGCTCAAGGGGCTTGAGACAGGGGGATCCTCTCTCCCCCTTCTTGTTCTTGCTTGTGATGGAGGTCCTTAGTAGATTGATGCGAAGGGCTGCTGATTTGGGTCTTGTGAGAGGTTTTCGGGTAGGCAGGGATGCTGCTTCTCAGTTGGAGATCTCTCATTTGATGTTTGCTGATGACATTCTGGTTCTTTGTGATGTGAATGTGTCCCAGATTAGATATCTGAGATGTGTCTTGATTTGGTTCCAAGTCGTCTCCGGCCTTAAGGTGAATGTGGGCAAGAGCGTTTTGGTGCCGGTTGGGGAGGTTCCTGAGATTGAGACTTTTGCTGACATCTTTGGATGTCGCACTGGTGCTTTTCCCATTTCTTACTTAGGTTTGCCTCTGGGAGCTCCTTCGAGGTGTGTGGGGATTTGGGATCCAGTTGTGGATAGATTTGAGAGAAGGTTGGCAGGTTGGAAGAAGCAGTATCTTTCCAAGGGCGGCAGGGTCACTCTGATTAAGAGTACCCTCTCTAGCCTTCCCACTTATTTTATCTCTCTCTTTCAGATTCCATCTTCAGTTGCGGAGAGGATTGAGAGGTTGCAGCGTAATTTTCTGTGGGGGGGCAGAGATGAAGAGTTTAAGTTCCATTTGGTGAGATGGGATCAGGTATGCAGGCCTATTCGGAATGGTGGGCTGGGTCTTCGTAGATTGGTGCCCTTTAATAAGGCCCTTCTTGGAAAATGGTAGTGGAGGTTTGGTGTGGAGAGATATTGGCTTTGGAGGAGGGTGGAGCTCTTTGGAAGTTAGAAATCCTCGGGGGGTGGGAGTTTGAAAATTTATTCGGAAGGGTTGGGATGATTTTTCCAAGCACATTCGGTTTCGTCTTAGAGATGGGAGGAGGATTTGTTTCTGGGAGGATGTGTGGTGTGGTGATGCTCCTCTTACTCTTGCCTTTCCTCAGCTTTACAGGATTGCTTCGGATAGGTAGGCCTTGGTGGTTAACTGTTATCATCTTGATAATGGGAGACTGGTTTGGGATGTTCGATTCAGGCGTGCCTTTCAGGATTGGGAGATTGATGAGGTAATTCGTCTCTTGGAGTTGTTATATCGCCAGAGGATTGTGGTGGAGGATTCGGATTGTTGGTATTGGGTCGCAAACTCCAAGGGGCGTTTTGAGGTGAGATCTTTCTTCAAGTGCCTCTCTTTTGATCCTGGAGTTCGTTTTCCTTAGAAGTCTGTTTGGCGTTCTAAGGCTCCTCTCAAAGTGGCTTTCTTTGTGTGGACTTCGGTTCTGGGTAGGATCTTAACCCAGGATAATTTGAGAAGGAGAAGCAAGGTGGTGGTCAATCGTTGTTATATGTGTCTTCGTGATGAGGAATCTGTGGATCACCTTCTTATTCATTGCTCTTTGGCTAGAGAGTGTTGAGATTTGATGCTTGGCTTATTTGGGTTTTATTGGGTTATGCCAGGATCTACTAGAGAGTTGATTGAGATGTGGAGAGGTTGCCATGTGGGGGCTCTCAGTCAGGATGCGTGGAGAGCTACGCCGCTTTGTGTGTGGTGGTGTATTTGGCTTGAAAGGAATAGGAGATACTTTGAAGGAAATGCGATGTCGATTTCGGTGCTTAAATTCTCGATTATTTAACTCTTTTTTTGTTGGGTTTCAGGGAGAGATCATAGATCGTTGGGGGAAATTGTTGATTTTTTGGCCTCTATGAAGGCTTGAGTCCTTTGTGCTCTTTTGTATTTCCTTGGGTTTCACTCCCCTCTTGAGCGTCTTTTAATAATATTCTTTTATTTATCAAAAAAAAAAAAACAATATCATTTTACAATTAATTTATAAATTTTTCAAAATTTAGTCACATAGTACAAATAAGTTGTATTTTTCTCACTTTTGAATTTTCTCAAAGTATATATACTATGACCAGTATTTAAACAAAATCATATTACAATTAATTTATAAAATTTTCAAACTTTAGTTACATAGTATAAATCTGCCCCAACCCCCCCCCCCCCCCCCCCGGCGGGCGGTTCTGGCTCCACCCCTGCTCGTGGGACATTTGCCCAAGAAAGCCCATTCTTAAAGCTTAAAGACCACATGACCTCACAGCGAGCCTTGTACAATACTAACATGCATTAATCTATGCTCATTATACTAAATTGAAGTTTTATGTTATCCTTATATACCGTTTAGGGTGTTAGGCCTCTTAGTAACTTGTATGATTAGATAGACTTCTCCAAGGTAGCCTCAATATTGGCTTGGAGGAAGCAGAAAAGGCCGTGTATAGGAACAGTTTTATTTGGTTGGAAGAAATTTAATCAAAGATCTCATTAAATTGTTATTGATGCTTACTGCTAAAACGTTATGATTTATAAAGTGGATAAACTATGATCATAGCAACAAGAAAATGTAGGAACCAATTTTCCAGTTAAATATTTTGTGCTTCCTTAAGGACCTGTGTATCATCTGGATTTCTATGCTCACACTCCCCAAAGTAAAAAGAAATAATTCAATAACAGCCTCAAGAGAGAACCAAATCAAATTTCATACAGAAACATAACATATATATACCTGATGTGAGATGTTCTTGTGGCCTGGGACTGCCAACAAAAATCAGCAACAATAAGTAACATATCATCAATGGCATGGGGAAGGCTTTAAGACTTGGGAACAGTCACATTTAAGATTTTCACATCTTGAAATGGCCTATCTCCCCTGTCTGTCTTCACTTTCTCAATAGCCTGTCAACAATGCATATTTCAAAATGAGATCAACATGAGACAAATAGATTGATAGAGAGAGTATTCACACTTATGGATTGTGTATATCAAGTGTGGTGTGTGTGCCATGGTTCTAGAGCCCAAAATATAGGGATCATGGACCCATCCATTTACTGGAACAACTGATACGGCAACTTCTATGACCATTAACTGCTCAATCCTCTTTTAATTTGGAAGGTCATCAAAATTGGAAAATAAAAAATAAAAAATTAACCCCCGTCTCCCCCTTCTCTTCTCGCCCCAAACAAAAGATAACACTTCTTAAAGAATGAGAATGGAAATAATAAGATGTATCAGCGAGTGTAAGCAAAGGGAAGTACTAACTACACGTGCAAGCTCTTACCTGGACAACATCCATTCCTTTTATCACTCTACCAAAAACTGTGTGCTTATTGTCCAGCCATGGAGTGGCTACTGTGGTGATAAAGAATTGAGAGCCATTGGTGTTGGGCCCCGCATTTGCCATTGAAAGAGTGAAAGGCCTGTCATGACGTAAGCTGCAGACACAAGTAGCATTGTTTATTTATGACAAGTCCGTGTAAAGTATTGGATACACAGCAACGTTATACAGTATACGGGACTACACACACACCCACACAGTGACACATACATAAGATAGAGAGAGAATAAAATAAAATTGAAAGCTCACTGTGAGCACTATTCTTGTTTTGCAAACAAAGAATCATATAGAAAAGCCTAAAATAATTTCTTTCAGTTCTCCGTGAACTGCACAGTACTTCAACCCAAGACAAAAGAAACATACCGAGATTGTTCCATAAAATTTATTTTTATTTTTAACCAAAATATAACTGATTTAAAACCTATAACAGCTCCCCCTTCGTAAATTGTACAGAAGTTGCATGTAAAACTCCAGGAAACAATAAACCATTCTCCTTTGTTTTCCCTGTGGAGACATAACATTTTTTAAGAGAAATAATGTACCAAAGTCACTTCAACAGAAGTTGAGTGGAAGAGAGGAAACAAAGGATAACTACATTGATGTCTATGCCTTTTTTGCTAAAGAATCTTCCTCAAAAATACCCAATTATTAAGAGGGAAAATAGAATAATGATGATGTAGTCTCCAATTAGTCATTCTATAAACAATTGGCCATGTATCCCAGGTTATCCAAGAACAACCACAAAACATTATGATTTACCCATCTACTTGAAAACCTTCAGAGTCGTATTAACCTGCTTCCTTGGCAGGAAGGAAACCTATACAGTCCAGGCAAATAACAGATGCAATACCCAATATACCAAAAGGGAGGCTAAATAACTATATTGCCTACCACAACTACTCATGCATCAACAAAAATAAATCATCACCTTTTGTGAAACTCATCTTCAAACTCCCTTCCCCAAATAGATTGCCCACCAGTACCATCTCCCAAAGGATCTCCTGTCTGTACCATAAAGCCTTTTATGACCCGGTGGAAAATCAGATTATCATAATATCCATTTCTGCAGTGTGTTGTAAAGTTCTCCACAGTTTTTGGACATTCTTCAGGGTAGAGCCTCATGTGAATATCACCCAGCGTGGTGTGCATGATCTGGTCAAAGGATTACGAAAAAGAAAAGGAATTAAAAGAGAACCTACTCAGACTGCAATGAAAGCACATTGAAAGTAAATTGGACGGGTAAACAGTCAGCACTCAGCAAACCATGGCCAAAACAAAAGTGATTATATTACCTGTGCAACGATTCACTTTTATACCCAAACTATAAGGGATTGATTTCTTAAATCTACAGTGCACTTGTTGGAGTTTTTAGATGAAAAAGTTTACTAGGAAGGAAAATCTGTATAAGATGCGGGTAAGCAACCGTGCATTATACAGATATTCAACTAAAAAAACCTTAGCATTTAGATCAAATCCAGAAGAAGAGGAACAAAACACATTCTGCTTCTGGTTGTTAATTATATAGAAATGCCATTGTCAAAGAGTGTTATTGTTAATTTAAACCAATGGGAGGCATAACTAGATACAAATTTTCTGACATCCATTTGTACAAGGTGGCTGCCTTTATACTCAGAATGACATGTTCAAGCTTCTGACCTCAAGTTTTACCAATGCACTAAGCATGGACCTTAGTTGATATATGAGTATTCTAAAATGATTAGTCAACAAATATATAATAACATAAAAAATAAACATAAAAATAAAAACAACATTCCAGCTTCAAAATTTTCACTGATGTCATTGCCATCATCCACATGGTATAAGATCGTGTGTTGCCCATGTATCCGATATCAAAGGAAACAACCAACTGTACTATAAAAGTGGTTAATAAAGGTAACTAAAGGATGAAAACTCACCACATTATCTGGAAGAGAAGTTGTAACAGATTTTCCGATATCTGATACAGCCAAAAGTTCATCAGCGGGAGGCTTTTCATTAAACACATCCCTCCCCTTAGTCGCATCTTCAGGTTCCTCTGGTTCTCTTCGACTGTTGAGACCACAACGACAGTAAGAATTTCTTCCATATTATAAATATCTCAGAATAATTTTTCAAACTTCACAATAACCAACATTTAATCATCATCATCATCCTTGACTTTATCTCATAGAGATGGGGTTGGCCACATGAATTCTCTTTTTCAATAACCAACATTTAATCTAAAATAAAAAAGTATTTCATCCACTAACGTAAAAAATCATACCCAGAATTAGCTTTGAATGGTGAAGGCATGAGAAAGATTTAAGCAAAAGTGTCCTATAAGCAATACGTGACGAACAACACCTCGATTACATCATTCAGAAACCACAATTAAAATTCATGATAACAAATAGTTCAAAAGTTTCTTGACATAACAGTCTTGCAACTTATAGATATGGCATTTGATTTAATTGACTGAAATACATATGATCATTTAGTCATTGACAACCACACGATAATCTGTAATTCATTAAATGCCGCTCTTAGTGGCATCACAAGTGCATACTTTAAAGAGAAACACTGAATTCAGACAAGCATTACATGCATGCTATAGTTGCCTTAAGAGCTCTAGTACCTGAACAAATAGATACGGTGTTTTTTGAAAGCACAACATAAGAGCGTGGGATCAGTCAAAGGCTCTTTGCTCTCATTTGCATTTGCTGCAGCGGCAGGAATCTTTCGTACTTTTTTACTGCTTCGATCACCTTGATACAAGGCAATTCTTAAGAATCTATCATTATTCTCCACCTTACCAAGAATTCGAGCAACTTTATTGGTATGTAAATTCACAACCTGATAACAAAAACAAAAAGAAATATAATTTAACGTCTAAAACACAAACAATCTATTTTATGTTCAATGAAAGTCAGGCAAACACTATGCAAATATCAAGAGTCATATTGCAGTAAAATCAAGTCCAATTACTACATATCTATTGCAGTTACAGACTTGAAGGACATCCAATTGCTTACTTTAATTCCAAGGAGAGTTGCATATATAAGGAAGTTCGAGCTTTCATCAAAAACTGCATTCGGTTGGGGTGCATTTTCTGTTTTCTCAAATTCTTTCTCTACAGCCATTCTTCGTCCAAAATCAATAGCTTCCAGCCGGTATAAGGGAGCATCACTCCTCTGCAGATCTTGGGCAACCTACCAACGCAGGGAATTTTGTTTATCACAAGAATATCTTAAAGCAAATATATATGTTCTTTTATAAAGTTTAGGACTTAGGAGAGAGATAGATCACCTCAAGAGATTCATCATATACTCGTCTTAATTTTCCCGTTCTAAACCAAAGTACACGCATTCTACGGTCAGGAGAAGTGATGGAAAATTGCTTACCATCTGGGCTCACCTGACAAACAGTACAAGAATGTCGTAGTTGTTAATCTGAAGACAAAAATGATTGAAATAGAAACTAATCTAGCACTCAAATACTTCATATGTACTCAATTTTATACAGAAGTCAAGCATGCACCATGAACATTATGTCAATATTAATATAAAAATCACCTCAATAGCAGAGACAGCAGTTTTGCATTTCGCAATTTCAAAGAGATTAGTATCACTTTTCAATCTGAAATTCACCCTGCATGCACCCAAAAATAAAATATAAAATAAAAATCATTACAAAATAGCAATCAGTGGCAATTAGAAAATTAAAACAAACTTCATATCTAACAATAAAGAATCCAACTTGATACTATTAATTTCTAAATATAGCCGTTCACATGTCTTTAGTCCTTTACACAAGACAAAAGAAGTTACATTAAAATCAGGGCAAAAATATAGTGGGAACATAAGTTAGTTCCAAACTACTGCACCTTTTTTTGCAGTGGATGGCAACCCAGAGCATATCATATATAGGATAACCACTTGACCAGCAAACAAGAGTCATAAATCAACAAACTGATTATTAAAATGGCAGCAACCAGTAAATGCCAGAACTCCTTTAGCTCAGTTCATTATTAAGTAATTAATTATAACACAAGTTCACCTAAAAGTATACTTGAGTTCCACAGACCAATTGTACTCCATGGATCAAACATCAAACGATTCTCTGATTAGTTCATCTAATAAATGGTCAATGAGGCTTTTCAGGTCTCTTGCATTACATGGATATAAATAATTAGTGGCCATTGCACATGGACATACTACATATACACACCCGTTCTCTGGGAACTGAAGTGTAGCAGGGTTCCAGTACTCGATGATTCCCTTGTCATCTGCAGATATCACAGTATCAAAAATATGGTTGTACTTCATAACTTTTACCGGGCCCAAGTGTATCTGAAGGGAAATGACAAAAAAAAAAAAAAAATACATTAGATTATATTCCCTATGGCCAGATAACAATATAAAGAAAAGAGTTCACTGAATGCTCAAGAACAATTACTAAAGGAGCTGCATACCTCTCTAGAGATGATGGGTTCATTTGAACCAGCTCGTGCATCGTATATGTGCACAAATGAGGAGTTACGATCACTAATAGCAAGTTTCGCTTTGACATCCCCTTGTTTGTAAATCCATTCAGCAGCACCGGGTATAAATGGAAGACGTATCATGACCATCATGTCATAGTTGACTACGTCATATATTTTGACGGAACGATCATTAGAAATTGTACAGCAAAGCAAACCATCCAAACTAACCTGCATAGCTGAACTGGGTCATGGCTGATGATTGCACTCGGTAATCATGATAGACTTGTTTACATGTGTACAATACGTGTGCAAGCATCATAAAGCCAGAAGCATGTATTTTGGATGGATTCATCATAGATTATGTAAAAAGGATAATAACTACTATTTTTTTTTACCTCAAACAGCACTTCAGACACGAATTTTCAATGTCAAAATTTTGTTTTTGGATAAGTAGCGTATCATTAAAACACACGACATATAGTGACTCATGTCAAATATGATAGTCAAATTAGACACTAAAAACATATAATTGGCTCATAAAATGTATAAGTGACATATAGTGGTTCTTTGACATCCAAAAGCATTGCACTTTTAAAGGTAATGCTCATTTGACCCAAATTTAGAAACGATAGCCAATCCATTATACTGTGCAGAAAGATTCAGCCAGAATATCTTCTCAATGCATCCCGATTTCCTCCTTAATTTGCCTCAACATGCTACATAATATTTCATTCTTCTTAATCTAACATTACAGAATTAATTTATCGATTTTTTATTTATATCTCTTTGATGTTATCAATCACCTTATTTCATGCACACTTAAACCAGAGTGCAAATATACTCCCTGCAGCATAGACAACTAACAAAGCACTTCAATATCTATTTGTATATAACTTTATAGTCCTACCCACCATAAAACTAGAAAGGTCTTACTTTACAACATATAGTTAGACAAGATATACTATAACAGGGATGAAGAAAACATAAAACAAAGAACATAATATGGAAAAGGGAAAAAGAGAATGAACTCTAGAAGGGACCTACTTTGACACTCTAGTGGAAGCATTTCACCGTAAAGCTATCTTAGCTATGTATAAATAATCAATTCGTTATACAAGAACTTGTTGTTCATGACAGTTGGACTGAACACAGGGTAAAAGGTAACATCAAGCCAGGAATTAAAATATATAGAACCACACACACTCGCACACATGCATGGATAAAGAAAGAACTCACAGCCAGCCCTTCAATTGGGCCAAGGTGGGATCTAAAATGCTTCGCAAATTCAATGCCAATAGGCTTCTTCTTCCAAAATTTTATGTGCCCTGAAACAGAAGCATCGAAAGGCAGAAATCAACCAATTGTAATTTATACTTATATCAGTTGAAGCAAATATAAATAATCATCTATCATCCGAAAAAGCAATCCAAGTAGCATTAGAATTAGGTAGATTTAAAAATAACCTCAATCAAGGTACCTTTGAAGTCACTAGAGTGTTTTAATGTATAAAAATTGAATCTTTTAATGAAAATGAGACTTCTGAGTAAAAAATAACCTTAATCAAGGTACCTTGGAAGTCATTAGATTTTCTTAATGTATAAAGTTTGAACCTTTGAATGAAAATGAGACTTTTGACTTAAAAATAACCCTATTCGTGGTACCCTTGAAGTAAGTAGAGTGTTTTAATGTATAAAGTTTAAATCTTTGGATTAAAATAAGAGTTTTGAGTTAAAAATAACCTTAAAGGTACATTTAAAGTCACGAGAGTGTTTTGATGTATAAAGATTGAATCTTTGAATGAAAATGATACTTTTCAATTAAAAATAACCTTAGTCAAGGTAGTGTAGAATAAGTTAGCAATGCGTAAATAAAATAGATTAGGTATGTACATATTAACTTTGTTGGCATGGGGGAATATTTGGTCTTACCATCAACACTCCCAGTTATGAAAAAATCTGCTGCCGAAACAGCAACATGTGTCACCACATCACGGTGCATAAAACTTTTCTCGTACCTGTAAAACAAAGGCCAAGGTTCAAAAGTCGCCTATTCTATTCATGATTTTTTTATGCATCTATAAATAACTCTTGATTAAGGGTACTGAAACAAAAAATTCCAAAACAGGCTTACAGGAAAATGATATTAATACTAACATATAAAAGTGCATGTTAGTCTGATTGCCACTGCCAGGGTAGAAAAAAATTTCCAAAGAAAGTAAAGGTGTGTCTACAACAAAAGCCACACCGCTAAAAAACCAATGAGACCGGCAAGGAAATTCCATAAAGTGCTGAGACAAAACAAAAGTTTCCCCAGAAAGAAATAGTGAAGACTAAAAAGTTGTAGATTCCTTCCCAACCTACCACCAAAAGGAAAGAAAGACCTCCCAAGCACACATGTAGAAGTTGGGAACCAGAAACCTGCCAAGTGTTAAAATGAATCCAGAGAACTCAAGGATAACAAAAAGATAAAAGCATCCTCATTGTGGGTGGAAACCAAGGTTAACTTGTGAGAAAGATAAAGAAGATGGAAGTGAAGATTTCACCAAAGACTTCATCTTAACATGGAGGAACTGGCCGGTGTTCACTGACCCATGCTCAAATGGTTAGTTAAGGTGAAGAAGATTAAGATATTCCGGGATTCTACTCCACAATGAGTCCTCGCCCCTCTTAGATATATGGTTTAATATATTTATGGTTTGAAGCTAGAGTGGTGGAGTGAGCCTAATTATCAACAGAACTTCATTTTAGCTTGATGAGACAACACCGTGTGAGGGGTTGTACTTGAATGGTACACGATATAGCATAATGTGAAATATCATTACAGTGATGAGATGGGCCCATTTAATGTGATTGGGCAATTCCTAAATGGCCATTCTTTAGAGGGGTATATGTTACTCGGAATCAAAGTAATCATCCTCTCTTTAAGTAGGTCTAAGTGGTACTCAAGGAGGGGCTACTTTGAGGGAACCAAAAGGAGGGATCACCTCCAGGGTTTCAAGTGGCTCCCAAGGAAGGTTTGCCTTGAGGGGAGCCACGAAGGGGGATCACCTTGAGGGGTCCTCCAGGAGAGGACACCCCCAAAACCCTGAACTTCAGCCGTCAATTCAAGTACCTCCAGGGATCACTGAGGATTCTTGAATCTTGGTCCCAACCCAGACTTTCAAGTCTTCAATCTTTCCTCGAGATTATCTATGGAAAAAAATCCCAGAGATAATGTGGATATCACAAATGCCTGTATTGAAAGCGGTAATGCGAAGATCATAAGTCAAATCATGATTACTAACTGTTTGTGCGGCGTTCACATGGCCATGGTTGAAATACCATATACCCACACCTATCATGAGCAATGAAATGTTACATACAAGACAGTGAAGTGAGAAAAGTATCAATATACAGTGTAAAGCATTATAAGTAATGATGCTACTGCTTATGGAGCTATTGGATCATGATTCAATAAAAAATTCCATATTGATCATAAAACTAAACTAAAAATATGCAAGTGAGTTGGTCAATCTCTAGCGTAAGGGACAAATGAGAGACTGAAAGTCTGAAAGTGCTTGAATTAGACCTAGGTGCTTAATCCTTTCTATTTGAGGCACAGAATGGTTGTGCTAAAAAGAGCGCCTAGGAAAATTTGTTTCCCCATATGTATATTTTACCTTTTTCGTGTTTAAGTTATGTGTGTGTCAAAAAGCACAATTTGAGAGAGACGTGATAACTAGGGGCTTTCTTGCCTAATGTTATTTCCAACTCTCACATCATGCTTCGAAGATGTTATGTTGACAATAGAACATTTTCAATGCTTCTTCCTAACCACCACGCAACATATTTTAGAAAAGTGCAATATTTCATAGGAGTCAAGAGAATAAATTGTCGAGCTGAGTCGAATTAAACTGTGTAATCTAATATGATTTATTATCTCGTGTAATTAATTAGATATTTTAAATGAGGAAGAATAAAAAAATGAGTTTCTTTAAGATGATCAAGTCAAAACAAAATCTATTAGGAAAATCCAAGACTTCTTTTTTTTTTTTTTTTTTTTTTTTTTTGATAAGTGAAAATCTAAGACATGTGAGGTGAAAACATAAGGATAACTTGATGATTTAGGCAATATATTTCCCATAATATTTAGATATAATTCAAATTGTTTAAGAATGGCATCAAATTTTATAGTTATGACTTATGACCTGAATCATCTAAATATTTTGATTCATGGCCGATATAATTTACTTGATAAAAACAACCTAGTTGCGAATGCACTATGATGAAGAGGTAAATGTCCAACATAACTACTGAGAACCCAGTGTAGATAGATAAAACATCTAAAAACTGTCCAAAGTTCCAAGCATTTTTTCGCCCGAGGATCATCCTTAATGTCCCTGTCGAAACCTGGTTATGACCACAACCCAACCTGCTTCGGAGTTGGGACAAAAGCAGGAGGTAAATAATCCAGCAAGTTGCCAATACACCACAATCCTGATGTTCCCAAAAGCACTAAGTACTTGGACCAGTCAGAAAAGCACCTCAAATATCAATGTGATCGAGATAGAGGTTTAAAGATTGTAAATTCCATAGCACCAAACAGGTTGGTCTAACATAATCTCAATAGGGTAAGTCAAATTTACCAACACAATTGAGATTCTATAGGCCAGAAAAGTAAGCATAAAATTATGCAGTGTAAAGCTAATACAAGTCAGCAAATTGAACTATAATTTCAGGCTAAAACCCAAAGCACTATTGATAACCCAGTAAATATTCTCATTTCAAACGATGTTTTCAAACGAAGTTAATTCATTGGACGGACGAGTGATAACACAAATATTAGTATTCAACGCATATCAATATTAGTATTGAGAAAATGGGATGCTTATAGCCCAAGTCAACTTATCTACAAGAGGAAACTAGTCCTGGTAAACCAAACCCACAAATTCTGACACACGGTATGTATGATGTACAATATGTATGTACATATATGCGTGTGGGCATGTGTGTATATATATATATATACACACACATATGTATATAGAGAGAGAGTAAATATGCGTACATGTTGGCAGAGGGAAGGGAGTCGAGATACGCTTGCTCGAACTGGAGAGGACGCTTGGGACGAGCGCGAGGTGCCGGGCCGGGTCCAACTACCGGATCTTCCTCGGTCACTGCGACAACAGAGCTTTCGTTCCCGTTCTGAGGCTCCTCCATCTCTTGCAGGGTTTTATGAAGAAAGTCTGATTCAAGAAAATATCAAAATAGATAGAAACCCTAGTTTTGAAAGCACCGATCAGTGATCATAAACTCTCCTCTCTTTCCCTTTCTGGTGTAACACTGGGCTTCATGCTTCTTGTGTTTCTCTTTTTCTCAAATATTCTTTTATTTTAAGTACAAACAGATAAATAATTAAGGGTTAAGTGCAAAAAAAAATCCATAAATTATTGCCTTTTTGCAAATAAATCCTGAACTAAAAAATTATTAATTTGTTGTAATTAAAGACATATTCATTATATAAGACTATTTTATCTTTTCTTATTAAAATTTTTAATTCTTATTAAATTATTTTTATTATCTTTTCTCTTATATACATATTAATAACACTATTTACTTTTATTTTATTTTTAGTATCAATTTATTATAAAAATGAAAAAAATTAGATAAATAGATTTGTAACTACCATTTTTTAAATTAATTAACTTATTATTTATAATAAAACGTATCATAACTAATTTAAACATTTTTATCGTAAAAAAATATATATATATCGTCTTTTTCGTACGTTATAGTGATGAAAATTTAATAAAATACTTTTGAATGAAAAAAAATAAATACCTTATTTTTATGTAATATATTCATTAAAAATTAATTAATTTTTAAAAAATATTTCTACTAATTTTTTTATTTAAATAAATAATTAAAAAAATTAAAGGTAAATTTATGCAAATTTAATGAAAAATATCTCTTCAAATTAATATGAATTTTTTCATAATTTATTTAGATAAGAAAAAAAATATTTTAAATGTAATTCAACAATAAGGGGCATTATGGTCATTTAATTAAATATAGTATAGTCTTTAGGATATGTTGTAACAAAATGAGATACTTTAAGGGGTTTTATGCACAAAATATAGTTCAGGAGGGTTATTTGCAAATTCAAACATAATTCAAGGAGGAATTTTATACTTTACCCAATAATTAATAATACTCTAATACGAGTAGTACATAAAACCCTTTATATTTTAAGTACAAATAGATAAATAATTAATAATACTGTAATACGAGTAGTACAGAAAACCCATTATTTATTTGACCAAATTTATTGTATTTAACTAACTATTGTGCTTTTTCAAATTTTCGGTAAAAAAGTATACTCCTATGAAATGAGGGAAAATTGTACAGACTCGGTCTTTTCCCTATTTTCTTTTTTTCGGCAATTTTCTTTTTCTTTTTTTTCCCATTTTCGTCGTTTTCCCTATTTTGTCTTTTCCCGATTTTCCTTTTTGTTCCATAACCTCACTTTTTGTGCTCAGATTTGATTCCGGCTTTGCATGCGTCCATTATATTTAATTTCTATGATATCTACATTTTTACTTTTGTATAAAAGTATGCTAAATGTTTACTTTTTTTGTAAATGGCATGGATGCATAACTTTTGGTAATTTTCTTAAACTTTTGGAATTTTAGTGTAATTATGCAAAGTAATTATTTTTCGTCTTAGGGACCATTTTGTAATTTAATTTGAAGGATATTTTCAAAAAGGACTTTTTTGCAATTTACGAAAAATGTGACAAGTGTCACATTCTCATGGTGCCACTTGTTGGCATTTGGGTAAGGAGACACATGGAGGGTGGAGATTCATCCATTTGTTGCCCTAGGATTGGACCACGTATTGGCTTGGATGGTTGACAAGTGTAGGCTTGATATTTAATCTAGAAAACTTACTTAGATTCATGGCAAGTGTAGAACTCATCTTTAATCTTGCAAGTGTGTGTGTGAGAGGTAATATAGGAGCACCTAGTGAGTGGAGAATTCCACCAAATTGAACTTAGGGTTTTCATTTTAATTTATTCATTTCATCTCTTTCCTCTCAAGAACCCTGACCTAGCCACCACTGAAGACAAGCTAGGTTTAAGGCTTTGACTTCATTTTTGATCACTTTCCACTCACCTTAGATCATTGAGTTTGGAATACAAAAGTCTTGCATCATCTTCCTCTTCGTAACCCTAGAAGGAAAACTTGAAATTCATTTGCTTTCCTTTAATTCAAGAGGAACAATCATTTGATGCTTTATATATTTTAATATCTTGATACAAATAGAATACATGTCTCTAATCTAAAATTTAAGTGAGTAGTTAATTATATCTTGCATGAAATTTAGCTAGGACATGATTTTTGGAAAGGCCATGACTTGATTCATAACTTATGTTAATTTGAAATCATTTAGGGTTGTTTTGAAATCTAGAGGAATTAGCTAATTATTTTCATTTATGTGTTCTTATGACTTAAATCAAGTTTTGAAGTGATATATGTAATGATCATGATAGGTTCTTGAACATATATTAAATTGAGTATGTTTGGATGAGAAATGAAAATTAGCGAAATTAATTATTTTGTTTAATTAATTTATATCCTTGTTGTATTAATGATTTGAATACGTATTGTATGCTAATTGCATATTTAAATCATAATTCTGGACTTGTATTATAATTGTGGGATTATATTTTTAATATTGATGGATATTGTTATAAAGAGTAACAAGTTGCATAATGATTATTCAACATTCTTCATGCCATTATAGTTGTGAACTTAGGGCATGTACTGTGTTTCCAAATTTGGTTTATGCATGGTTAATGGCTTTACATTGTATATATATATATGTTATGTTAATACATATTTGTTGTTGCACGAGTTGTTGATTTTGAAAATTTGGGATGTCGTTATTATGACTAAGGTTAGGGCATGGTTCTAGTACGGGGGATTGTCTCTCTATAAGTCTAGTGCGCACATAGGGAGGTTACCCATGGGCTAGCAGTGGCGTAGCCAAGAATTTATTCCAGTGGGGGCAATTTTTAATAGCAATAATATATATATATATAATTTGAACCAAAATAATGTATGTAAAAATTAAAACATTAATTCATAACATTTCTATTCAGTACATTCACAACTGCCCTTGACGATTTTTCATATTCTGAAAGCGTTGAATAATAATATCACTGTCAAAAGTACTACCAATTTCATGGTAATAAATAAAAATGAAATTACATGATAATTGATAACCAATTTCATTCCAAAAAAATTCGTGGTAAGAAACATTCTTAATAACTACCATGTGTCAATTGATTCATAATAAAAATTCATTCATATTAAAAATAAAATAAAAAGCAAAGATATGAAGATAACTAACCTTATAAGTTAAAACCATAAAATCCAATCAATCGCAAAATTTTATGTGATTTCATTGATCTGGGCTGCAAGCTTGCAAAAAATAATAAATAAATAAATAAATAAATAAAATAAAAATTCTCAAGTCATATTTATAGAATAATAATTAGTAACACAATTACACAAACTAAAATTTGAAAGAACAAGCCCGAAAATAGTTTTGATAGAAATAACTAATAATTTTTTTAATTAAAATTATAATATCAAATAATAATCGTAAATTTAGATGATAAAAAAAAAATAGTACGACTTGCCGAGTTTTTGTCTACTGGTAAAGTAGTATGATTGCTCCGCTTGTGTTTTTTTTGGATTGTGAATTTGTGAAATGTTGAAGACTCGCGGAAAGAAAAATATTGAAGACTGAAAAATTGAAAATGCGATGGAAATAACGCATTTGCTTGTGGTAAAGTAAAAAATGTGAGAATATCTTGTATTTTTTGGAAAAAGTAGGAAAGAATATAATATTTTGAGAAAGTCAAAAAAAAAAAAAATATCATATTGTTTGGGAAAGTAGAATATAATATTTTGGGAAAGTGAAAAAAATATTATATTTTGTGGGAAAGTGTAAAACTGTGAACGACCTTTTGATTATATATATGTGTGGCACTGTTAAATTTTAGTGTACATATATAAAGATCTTTCCATAAAAGAAAAAAAAAAATTAAAAGTTCAGTGGGGACAGTTGCCCCCACTTGTCCCTCTGTGGCTACGCCACTGTAGGCTAGTAACCCTAAAGTAACTACGGTGTCGGTATTATCCGGCGTGATGTCCAAGTATCCACTTTGGTTTGATTTCACATTTAAATTCCAAACTTGATAACTATGTGATATTGTATCTCATTATGCCATGTTAAAAGTTCCAATGTCATTTTAATAGCATGGACTAAATTATATTAAATTGTAAACTTTGTAATAAGTTAAACTTATGCATGCTCATTCCCTACGAGTAAACTTGTTTACTCACCCCGAAGTTACTGGGTGTTTTTCAGGTAAAGAAACTTTATTTTGGGTTGCACAATATTCTTAGATTTGTTAGAACTCTTTGAGTACTTTTAGTGAGATTGAATATGCACTTGTTAGCATATCATGAACATTTTTGGTGTATTGTATAAAAACTTGTATTTATTGTCTAAGCCATGTAATGTGCACTTAAGTGCATCTTTTGATACTCTTTAGATGTGTATGTAATGAGACCAAGGGTTAAAGACACTCATATGCCATGTATGCTTCTTTATTTTCGTAGTTTGTTCATGGAATACATGGGGTTTCATGCATTGAAAGGTCATATTTTGCATATGACATGCCATGAGGTCGTAAGCTATTGTAGTACGTCTACTTTATCATATTACGTATGCTTACATATTCACTTTGATACATAATACCATTCTTGATGAAATAAAAACTTAAGGTTGCATTTTTTTGAGTTTTTACCCTATTCTATTCCAGGGGCATTTCAAGTATTTAATAATGTGTTTTTTTTTTCATTTTTGCCCGTGTTACCGAGTAGAAAACTCAATTTCGGGGCGGGGGGGAGGGTTCTTCTTTGTGTTTTTCCAGAAAACGTCACTTGGCCCTCAAAAACCCATATTTTTCCGAAAAATCCTTACTGCCAGGTTTTTGTTGATTTTTAATATAAGTGTACTTGGTACTATTCATCGACATTTTTTTGAAAAGTGTGACGACCGATCCGAAACTTCCGGGGGTCTTGTGGGTGTATTTTAAGATTGTATTTTTAATTTAGGCAATTTAAAAACCTCCCGAAGCCCCATTTCCTTTCCTTGGGCAGTAGCTCGGAATAATTTTAAACTTTTTGACCTAATTTTGTTGGGGTATTTTGGGCATTTTACAGTACATTTTTTTGGTTTCCGTTCGCGTTGTCGGGTAAAAAACTTGATTTGGGGGGGGGGGGGAGGGGGGGTTATTCTTCG